GCTATATTTATACATTTATATTTATTTATATTTCAACAGGAGCCCGGTTCAGAGCACAAACCGTGACGCGCCCATGGGGTACAGAAACTCCCTAGCCCCAGACGCAGTGCGCCTGAGTTCAAAGGAGAGAGGGGCTGGCGGGTTGGGGATTGGTCTCGCTGCCTCATCCAGTAGGCACAGCGAGCGTGGAGGTGTGCGTGTATTTCTATAAGGTCAACGGGAATGTTGCGTTTATTTTTTCTCACGCCATCCATTTTTATCTCGCCGTTGTCACCATTAACCATGGTCTATTCCAAGAGTCGGTCAGCAAAACAACAACAAGACATTTCGATTTAAAGCTTTCGTGACTGCAGGGATTCATCTTCTTGGTTCTTTCGGTAAAGTCACATAGAAGGGTAATAATCAAATAATAAAAATAAAACATGATAAAATAATTCTCACGACGTTTCGGCCACAACGAAAGCAGTCGTCCTCGGGTGAAAAACAGGTCTGTCGGGAAGACAGCGTCAGACCTGTTCTTCACCTGAGGACGGCTGCTTGCGTTGTGGCCGAAACGTCGTGAGAATTATTTTATGTTTTATTTTTATTATTTTATTATTTCCCTTCTACGTGACTTTACCGAATGAGCCTAAGAAGAACAACAAGACACATTATTTTTCCGAATTCTGTCACAAAAATCAACCTCAATATTTCAAGAGCTGCAATGCATTTGGTTAATTCGAGACTGTGGTCCTTAAACAAAACAAAAATAACGTCACGAAGCGTTCCATCAAGGAGCCACCGCATGCGGCTCCTGTAGCCACAGATTGCCACCCCCCGTGGTCTATTCCCTGAAGTACGAAAGCCTCTGTTGCCATCCCTTTTGATGGCCCTTCAGTGCCACAGGTCCATGTCACGCACGTCGGACAATTTTCTCGCTCCACCTCCGCAGTGGTCGTCCTCTATATCGAGTTTGGGGCGCCGTTCCAGCACCGGTCGCGTCCATCCAGCCACCATCGCTTCGAGCCGCAGTGGCGAGATGTTAACTACCTCGCCTGGTATGCAGGAGGTCGTGGGTTCGATCCCGACCCTGATGCCTGCTGTGTATTTGGAGTTAGCGTGTCTCTCTTCCCGTGGTCGCGTGGAATTTTCTCCAAGGTCCTCCAGTTTCCCCCTTCACAATGAGACTCAACGTGCGTTTAGAGCATTTGGCTGCTATAAATTTCCACACGATAAGCCACTTTGTTGAGCTATCATTTGTGGCCACGTTCACTTCTGAAGAATAACCATATAGCTCATTCGGGCCTGACCTGGTAAAAAAAAAACATAGTTCAGTTTGAGTTTACATTGATAAACAATGTGATGCCTCTGATTTGTAGGTCTGAATCTGAGTGTAATTCCTGGCACGTATACGTGGCATTGCTTCTTTTTGTGCAGTTTCGAGCTTTGCTTCCATGTTCTTAGTCAGTACCAAAGTCTTCGATGCATTTTTAGAAATTAATTTCATCCACATATTTTTGCTGTGCACATTTGACATTTACTTGGGAACACATTCCTGCGGAAGGAAGCTGGTAGGAACGTTGGGTTGCTCGGTCAATGGCCTGCAGGGTCAACGGCGGCGTGGTGTATTCCGCCAATATGCCCGACTGTGAGGGCGGGCACAAGCCGGCGTGAGTAGGTTAAACGTTGAGTTTTATAAGGGCACCACGGGGTGACCAGCCCCTCCCCTCCCCACCTTGCCCCACCCCTCCCACCCCCCACCCAGCCCCTCCCCACCCAGCCCCTCCCCACGCTCCCTACCCAGCCCCTCCCCACCTTCCCCTCCCCACCCAGCCCCACCCTCCCCCCCCAGCCAATCCCCACCCCACCCAGCCCCTCTCTCCCCACCCAGCCCCTCCCTGCACGACGGACGGACACAATAATCCCCTGTGGGCTGGTGTAACCAGGAGGTTCCTACCAGTATAAACGAACGGACTAACTCACAGTAATGGTTTGTTGCTCCGAGTAATTATGTGCTTAAGTGAATATACGGTGGGAATTTATCGGAATTGTCGTCTTTGCACGGAAATTTTGTTCAGCTTCCTTAATCACCTTTAGAACACCGACTCAGATATTATATTAAACCGAACATGTAGCATAATTAAATTTCGATTTAAAGCTTTCGTGACTGCAGGGATTCATCTTCTTGGTTCTTTCGGTAAAGTCACGTAGAAGGGAAATACTAAAATAATACAAATAAAACATAATAAAATAATTCTCACGACGTTTTGGCCACAACGCAAGCAGCCGTCCTCAGGTGAAGAACAGGTCTGTTATGTAGCATAACTGTGACTCAAAAGCGTGTATCTTAAAGTGGCTGTTCCTATCTCACATCGGGATTATTTTTTGGCGCACGGGGCAATTGAATAAAAGCGGACTGGAGTAATGGTTGTATCGCCTGAGTGGCAGGACGTAAATTAATTATTTTCCCAAAAGCCGATTCATAGCACAGCACCGCTGTTGCTATGAACGTTTCAAATTCATCTTCTTCAAAGCTATGGTGGGTATTCCATAAAATGAAAAAATTTAAGTAAAAAAAACATTCAATTTATCATTCGTCATTCAGGGTAAAGGTGCAGCCCTTCTATTGCTTACTCATCCAACTGCTATGATGATTATTATTCACCTACGACCTGCTATGATGATTATTATTTACCTACGAAAGTCTCGATGAGTCTCGTGACTCTTTCAGGAGGGTCCTGCCAAGTTGTTGTTTTTTCATTCAAACCGAGTGATTTGTCGGTATAATTTGTCTCATTCTTTGACAAATTGGAACCATGATGCGAGCACACAATGGCTTACTCTTGCGAGTGATGTCACGGGATCTTTAAGGTCCACTTTGAAGCAAACGCCGCGTATATGCATCGTGACTGCACCTGCAATGGGAGTCGGATGCTGGCTGAAGGGCCTCCACTAGAAAGCCTCTTCAGTGGGTATTTGGCCTGCTCTTCCACGTGTGCCAGAAGTTGGAAGATATTGTTTTATAGCTGTGGCATAACCATGTTGAGTGTACAAAAGCGACGGGGGGAGGGGGGGGGGTATTTAAGAAACGTGCACGACTGTTTCAGCTGCCACGCCCAGGGCATCGCATCAAACCGGCGACCTCGCGATGAAGCAAGATTGCAAGTTCAGCGTGTTGACTCTTCCATCACGGCGGCACGCCTCATCCTTCACGAAAACTACTAAGCCAACGAGGGCTAGGACATCCGGCAGTTGTATCACACGTCGGATGCGATGGTCCGCGACGCCGGTCGGCTTGCGATCCGTCCGTCGATCGAACGCATTGCAACTCCACGCATCGATCGGCATTGTGACCAGTGCCGGATTATCCTAGTAGCAAAAGTAGCTACATGTGTAGTAGCTACATAAGTAGTAGCTACATAAGTAGTAGCTACGGCCCCCCGCACTTTCAAGGGCCCCGCGCTAAATGCTTTCAAGCTATCAATTCCGGTTCGGTCATTCTGCACTTGCTCTATTACTATAGTACTATACTGCCTTCAACTTTTATGAACGACTGGGCGTTTAAGGTTAGCGATTTGTCGTATTATCTGGCTGTATAGCCAATGAAAACATACAATTACTTTACTATGCAAGTACACTTTTTTCACGTGTATGTGTTTTTCTTATGTAGGGCCCCTTTATACCATATTCAACAGGCTCCGGCACTTGCTTAATCCGGCACCGATTGTAACAGAACAAACACATATCCGCGCTGCCGTGCCGCCGCCGTCCAAACCACACGTCCCGCCCATCCAAATCCCAACCTCCCCCTCCACCCACCGAGCCAGCCACAGTTCATCCGCTCCGCGCGCACTCGAACGGGGACGCGTTTGTCCTCGTGCCAAAGTTAATTTCGCCGCGGTGACTCGCGCGAGCCAAGCAGCGGGCCCAGCGCTAATCTCTTAGAGTGCGCTAAGCTGGGCCTCTGCCAGGTTGCAGCAATCGCCGTTGGCTACGGCGGTGGCGTCTGGCTGGAGCTGGGCACCCCCTCGATCGGACTCCGCGCCGCGTTTCGCCGGCACGGTCACCGTGGGCGTTGTCCCGCCTGGCGTGTTGTGGGTGGGGTGGTGAATACGCCTCTGAAAGACGGCTTCTGCAATACGCGCCTCGTTGCTTGCTGCTGCCATCTGGTCCCACTGCTGTGTCTGTGTGTCTGTGTGCGTGCGGCAACGGAGATTTCTCGTTCTGCCAAGGTGAGTCGTGGCTGCTGCTGCTGTTGTTTGACTCTTGCGGGAATCCGCGTGCGAATGGTGATTTCGCGTCGTATCACAGCGGTGCAACGATTGTGCATTTTTTTCGACGGATTTGAAATGCTGTTTGTTTCGGGGGTGTTGTCTTGGGGGGGGGGGGGTTGTCTGTTGAAGTATTGAAGATTATGAACCACGCCAGTCTAAACCTTCGTCTTGTGTTATCTCCAGATTTGTATCATTTGTGTGCACGGCAAAGTGAGTTAAATAGTAACTCTGTCCTGCAATGTGATCGTCGGTAAAATGATTTATTTCCCTGGAAGTCGTTTCCGTTAATGTTGTTTGTAAATCCTTGTATTTGTCAAGGAAACAATTTTCACGAGGGTCAATCGGGCTGCAGGTTTTTATTTTATTCATTGCTGCTGTTGCACGCTTCAAAGGTGAACATTTGCCGCATTTACGCAATTTGTAATAAATTCATGAGCCCCAGTGCCAAGCTCATTTTGAATAAGTAAACAGCTATGAGGGTTGTTGCAGCCCAACAGCTCGCATGGACAATACAAGGCAAGACACAGATGTACTTAGTGATGCTTTATACAGCGCTGTAAATAAGTAGGCATAAAAGAAAAAAAAACCATCCATTTCCTCTGTTGCAGTTATTTATTTCCTTGCTTATTTTTATTATTATTATCCATTAGGGATTTATACTCCGAATTGCGTGTCCTTCATCTCCATCCATTATTATCTTTTTATTTTTCTGCTCGTCTTCTTCCCCTTCCCCTCCCCACCAGACAGCGATTGCTGAGAACCCAGCGAGATTGAGCGAGGATACGTCCCGATCTCCCTCCCCGCCTCGCCCGGGCCCATCGCCCCGTCACACTCCCTCTGCCGTCTTACGTGTCCGCAGCTTTGCTGACGACCGGGAGAAATGTTGCCGCGGAAACCTCCGTGCGCCCTTCTGAGGGCCCTGGCGATACTGTGCGTCGGCGTCGTGACGTCCCTGTCGCAGGACATCCCCCTACAGAGTAAGAACGCGCGCACGCCAGCCACTTGCTCTCCCGCGGGGCAGCGATCGGCCACCAAAATAACAAGAGGCATTTTTTTTTCTCGAATTCGGTAAAACAACAGCAACAAAACCCCCAAATATTTCAAGAGCCTCAATGCAATGCGGTGGATACGAGGCGTTGGCCCTCGATAGTTATTGAGGCCCTCAATAATTATTGAGGCCCTCAATAATTTTTGAGGGCCTCAAAAATTATTTTTGAGGGCCTCAAAAATTATTTTTGAGGGCCTCAAAAATTATTTTTGAGGGCCTCAAAAATTATAAAAATAATTTTTGAGGCCCTCAAAAAAAAAAAAATTATTGAGGCCCTCAATAATTTTTGAGGGCCTCAAAAATTATTGAGGGCCTCAATAATTATTGAGGCCCTCAATATTTTTTGAGGGCCTCAAAATTATTGACAGGTTGGCCCTCGATAATTATTGAGGCCCTCAATATTTTTTGAGGCCCTCAATAATTATTGAGATGTTGGCCCTCGATAATTATTGACACGTTGGCCCTCAATAATTATTGAGGCCCTCAATATTTTTTGAGAGCCTCAAAAATTATTGAGACTTTGGCCCTCAAAAATTATTGAGGCCCTCAATATTTGTTGAGGGCCAACGCCTCGTATCCACCGCATTATAATTAGCAAACGCCACGGAGCAGCCCCTTAAAGGTGCCGCACGGGGCTGCAGAGCCGCAGATTGCTGATCCTCTGCCGTAAGGGGACGCGGCACGCCCAAAGTCGGCCCTACGGAACTGTCACCAACCCAGGAAGCATTATGTGGTTCCAAGCCTGCAGGTGGCCCAGTGGCTCAATGGTCGAAATGTTCAGCTGGCGCCACGTCCACGGGCCAGAGCAGATATTTGCTCCCGCACTAGAAGTGGTAAATGTTTACTGATGCCAGTTTCTGTATATGGCAAGTAACATCGGATGATGTGATAATGTCTTCGATAAGAAACGTTTACTCCACAATTCACTTTTATTCGCGATTTGAAGCTCTTGGAACAACTCAAGCTTTGCTATATCAGGTGGTATCAGCAAGTAAATTACATGAATTGGTCTCGATCTATGGACTGGCTTTAAATTCGAGTTTCAGCCACCTGTGATTAACCTGGGTTCTCAAGAGAGTTGAGTTGATTGTCCGAGACTTGTCATCGATGACCGCACACTTCAATTAAGGTAATAAACTGAATTTAGTGAAATTCTAGCTCGAAGAGTGATAGCTGGATAACTATAAAATAAGATATACGGTACTACTTTGATATGCGACGAACCTACTACTATTACTTAACAATTTTATCGTTTATTAGGTAAGGCCCACTGAGCTATATAGCTCTTTTTCACAAATGATAGCTCAATTAAGTGACTTATCATGCGGAAATGTATTGCAGCCAAATAATCTAATCGCATGTTTCTAAATGTGGAAAACTGGAGGCCCGGAGAAAAATCTACGTGATCACAGGGAGAGAGACATGCAAACTCCAAATATACAGCAGACATCAGGGTCGGGATCGGACCCACGGCCTCCTGCATACCAGGCGAGGTAGTTAACATCTCAAACTCCAAATATACAGGCGTCAGGGTCGGGATCGGACCCACGGCCTCCTGCATACCAGGCGAAGTAGTTTACATGGCTAACTCCAAACATAAGGGCATCAGGTTCAGGATCGGACCCACGGCCTCCTGCATACCAGGCGAGGTAGTTAACATCGCAAACTCCAGATATACAGGCGTCAGGGTCGGGATCGAACCCACGGCCTCCTGCATTCCAGGCGAGCGTGTGATAAAGATTGCAGAACTCACCTTGATTGTAGCTCACAAGTGGGTGCTTGGATAACTCATTCCGCGGGCAAATTCACTAACATGGGGCGATCCATGGCTCTGTGTGACATCTGAATGGATGCTGCGTCCACTGACGTTACAGCGGATACTAAAGTCGGGACAATACTGGGGAAAAAATGAACAGCGTGAGATCATCGCAACTTGGTAACGCATTTATTTCAGTGTGGCTCTTCTCTTGCAAGTGTCCTCACACGGGGGGAGGGGCAAGCAACCACTAAGTATGTGACACTTAATCAATGAACTTTAACAAGTAACGCTAACCTTTTATTGACGTATGTCTTGCATTTTGTAGCCAAATTTCTTGAAGGTGGTAAGTGCCTTGCACGTTTAATATATGCTTCATTGTTCCGCATGACTTGCATGTTGCCGCAGTGTGTACGCATGCGTTTGAATCGCCATACGTGTTTGATCATAGATAGACATTTGTGTTGTGCAGTTGTACGTCGTTGAACTTGCGGCTAGAACGATTATCAACATCTCTTCGAACGGAAATTAAATTGGTGTTGAAGTCCATATCCCATTTGCCATCCATAGACAATGTAATAGATATTTCGATTTAAATCTTTCGTGACTGCAGGGATTCATCTTCTTGGTTCTTTCGGTAAAATCACGTAGAATGGAAATAAAAAAAATATTTATGTTTTCTAATAATTCTTTTATTTTATTATGATTTATAATAATTATTTTATTTTGTTTTATAATAATTATTTTATTATTTCCATCCTACGTGACTTTACCGAAAGAACCAAGAAAATGTTATAGATTGCCAAAATGTAATCGTAGCATTTTTGTTAATTATCCATGATGTATATTTTTTTGGTTAGATCGCGTAAATATATAAATACGTCGCTAAACCCTCCACCACCCGACACAGCCAATTAGTGAGGTTTGTCACGTAAACAGAACGTGCCAATTTGTTACTAGTACAGCACTAACCGGTGTGTTGGAGAGTAAGCCCACAACATAAAAAAAAATTACTGTTTGGAAAAAGCCATACAATAATACTGATATAAAATGTTGTTCGTCTTACTTTATCCTACAAGCCATTAAAAAAAGATTTACGGATGGAGTAAATAGTTTTTTTTTACATCAAACCTTCGTAAAACTTCCTGGCACGAGTGACCTGGAGTGTATGTAGTAGGCCTTGTCATCTGCTACCCGGTCACAATTAACCTCTTCAAGTTTGAACAAAAGTGATATCGTGTACGAGTGACCTACAGACTAGTAAAAATGTGTACTCCACAAGCCAGCTCACTTTGGACCTTATCAAATTTACCCAAACGAACAAGGGCTGGATTTAACATGAGTGGCCTCAAGCCTTGGTGAAGCGTTTCCCAAACACCGCTTGGGTCACCTTTGACCTCACCGACGACGGTCGGGATTACATTATCCCAAATTGTATTCAGAAAAACCAAAAAAACCTATTCCATGTTCTCAACTGAAACATGAAGAGGCATGGGAAGAGAGTTTGGAAATGCGTAAAACAAAAACATTACCGTGACGGAAATATCCCCAATTTTTTTTTACCTAGGACAAAGGCGTTGTTTATCTGAACGTCGTAAAAAAGTCAAGCAGAACAATATAAATAATAAAAGATATTCATAACCCTAACGACTATTGATTGTGCTCGTACGGCCATTACTCCGTGTGCATTAAAAAAGCACGACTACAGCACTGCAGTTGTGGCTAAATACAGCCACCGATTTCCCAATGTCATGGCCACGTACAATGATCAATTCTGACCCAATAAACAACGTCACCACGGCTCCCATCAAGCCACAAAATCCGGTCGCTTGCTAGTCTCCAGTGAAATGTGGACAAACGCACCCCTACCCCTCCTGCTGTATGACCCCGTAGTCGAACAACCGCCCACGATCACGAAGCAGCCGCCCAAGGTCTACTTTGTCGATCCCACGGACGACATCCACATCGACTGCGAGGCCAAGGGGAACCCTGCCCCCAGGTGCGACCTGCACACACGGCCCATGGTCGCGCATGCGCACAGGAGGCGGATGGCTTGAGCGTGGCCGTCGATTCCAGCGGCAGCTGCTATAGCGGTAGTTGTTTAAAGCTGTAGCTATTACAGCAGTAGCTTTTATAGTAGTAACGATTACGCCAGTAGCTATTACAGCAGTAACTGTTACAGCAGTTAATAACCAGGCTACATTTCGATTTAAAGCTTTCGTGACTGCAGGGATTCATCTTCTTGGTTCTTTCGGTAAAGTCACGTAGAAGGGAAGTAATAAAATAATAAAAATAAAACATAATAAAATAATTCTCACGACGTTTCGGCTACAACGCAAGCAGCCGTCTTCAGGTGAAGAATGAGACACTACCAGGCTACAGTCTACGTTATTGACTGGCAGTACACTCACTGCGATTAATAACCTGGCTACAGTCTACATTATTGACTGGCAGTATACTCACTGCGATTAATAACCTGGCTACAGTCTACATTATTGACTGGCAGTACACTCACTGCGATTAAGAACCAGGCTACAGTTTACATTAGTGGTTTAAATTTTTAATTTTATTTGTATTTTTCTATCTACGTGACTTTACCGATAGAACCAAAATACAGTAGTAGCTCTACAACATTAGACCTCCTTTGCCAGTACCAAAATATAATAATAGGGTTTTCCCCCTTTTTTCTGGCAACAAAACTGAAACCTTTTTTACGAGGATTCATGTCTGCATTAGCCACAATACTTGCAGTCAAAATGCAAACAAAAAACACACTATGATAATATATGCATTCATTTTATTTTAATTTTTTACCTACATGACTTTCATCTTCTTGGTTCTTTCGGTAAAGTCACGTAGAAGGGAAATAATAAAATAATAAAAATAAAACAAAATAATTCTCACGACGTTTCGGCCACAACGCAAGCAGCCGTCCTCAAGTGAAGAACAGGTCTGTCGAAAGGATAGCGTTTGACTTTACCGAAAAAAGCCTAAGTATATGCATTGTCCTTGAAACTGATTGGTCCACACCAAGGGACGGCTTTCTTTTGAGCCTCGACCCAATTAGTGCTCGACCAGAGGACGCCAAAAAGCGTGCAGCTCAAAGACAATGCCACTATCAATGTAATGAGGGCTCGAGGTGAGCATCGTGGCATATTGTGGTTAATGCAGACATGAATCCTCGTTAAAAATGTTTCAGTTTTGTTGCCAGAAAAAAGGGGGAAAACCCTATTATTATATTTTGGTACTGGCAAAGGAGGTCTAATGATGTATTTTTTTTTTACTTTTCGTAACAGCTATTCTCGTTGTAGTATGACAGGTGAGGGCTCTGCCTCCCCTGACCGCACGTGCCATTATAAATAATCCACTCATGCATGGAATGGGCACGTGCTCTCCCCAGCTTCACCTGGACTAAGGACGGGGAGCACTTTGACCCGAGCCTCGACCCCAACATCGCGCTGACCAACAACAACTCGGGCTCGTTCAAGGTGCAAAAGTCGAACGGCGTCCTCAACAAGAAGTACGAGGGCGACTACCAGTGCATCGTCTCGAACGCCGTAGGCAAGGCGCTCTCTGAAAAGATTCGTCTCCGCCTGGCCAGTACGTCCCTCGACGATCGTCGCTCGCTGGCTCGCTGGTTGCTCGGTCGATCGGTCGGTTGTTGTAAGAGATCTCGGGACGCACGGATGTGACATTGGTTTCCATCGTGCGTTCGCGAGCGCGGGGTGATTGCCACTGTTCTCTGTGAGAGTTTCACCCCAATGAAAATGTGTCTTCATCTCATCGTAGCTGTCAACCCACATGGTTTAGCCCGTATTCTTGTACAGGGGAATTGAGCTTGCAGGTCCATACGGCGGCGTACAGCCGTTTTAATACCGGCAAGAAATGTTTTTTGTCCATTTGTTCGTGTTGAGACTGTTGGATGAACGTTGAGATTTTTTACGGCACGGGGTGATGTCTGAATTGGTCTGCAATAAGGTAGTCACTGATAAGGGGTTGACAAGTACGTGTCATTGACATGACACTGATGAGCTAAATTGGAATGTAAAGTGATTGGGGCAAAAAAAAACACTACGCAGTGTGTGTCTGAATGCTCACATGTGCGTGCGTTGGGAGCGGTAGCGTAATAGTTAGCGTGTTACGCTACGAACCCGGCGACCAGAATTCGATTCCCGCTCACTACCAAAACCAGTGACGATTTATCTGAGCTGGTCGTGGGCCTCACCTAAGTCGACTCAGTGTCAAATGAGGACCTGGTGCCGTGTGTAAACATCACCACTTGGGAGACAAAGGCGGTCGCGCGTGGTGCTGGCCATTCACCCCCTCGTGTGCCGTGCCAGCCTTCATAGGTGCTCGCTAACAGCACTTGCCCCAGCAGTCTATTAAGGCTATACGGGGGGTCTTTGTCTTTGTGCATGTGACACAATCTGAGCAACCCAAGTTCGATTCTTAGGCATGTATAACAACATCATTGGCAAGTGGTATCTGAATTTGTCCTGAGCCTCCCCTAGGTTGACTCAGCCTTAGATGTGTACCTGGCAAAGTGGGTAAACATTAGGATCTTTAATACAATGGACACAGCACTCCCTGATGTGTTGCGTAGACCTGAACAGCTGCTCCGTAACAGCAGTTGACTCTACCATACATACCTCTGTGTGGTTATATCACTCACAAAGTTAATAAGTATTTCTCGAGGCGTCCATCAATGTATCACTGTGGTCCTAATATCCAAGCTCTCCATGTGTTGTTTTTTTGTTGCCTTTCCATTGCTCTTGTTTTAATGGCTGTGTCTCGCGTTGGAATGGGGTGATGTCATTTAGATGAATTGCCTTTGATTGCAAAAGCTATTATCTTGCTTAATGAGTCTCTGCAAAAGACTGACCTTTAGTCAGAATCATGAAAGCCTAACCCGAATAGTATCTCCTTAAAACTCATTATATTATTTTAATAACATTTTAAATGTAACTCTTACTTTTGAAATACGTAAAATTCAGGTCGAAGGACAATTACATTTTAGAGAATGTTTTGCTTAGTAATCCAAACTTATTTTCTGTTGTTAATGCTATCCGTATCATTGCATTTTTATGGAGGTGCACTATTTATTGATTATCGATTTTTTTACATCACTTTTAAATATTTCTATTGGGCTGTCAAATGCAGCTGACATTTGGAAAAAATATATATTGATTATTTTGTAGATGTAGTTAATTTTGTGTTCAAGGCCACTGCAGGGATTTTTGAACATAGCAAAAGCAGTGTGGCTCTTTAATAAATCCGTCAATAAATGATGTACAGACCCACAGCAGTATCCGCAGAATTGCACTTAAAATTGATTATCAACTTGGCCAAAAATGTATTAACGGGATTCCAAAAAAGTTGCAGATAATGTCAATCGAGGGAAATAACTAAATCGTCTTAAAATATCCTTATCGTAACTTGTCAGAGAGTAAATCACGGTACTTGGCAATACCCTATTTGTATTAAGTTTATAGTAAAAGGCTAAAGGTGCAGCCCTGCAATTGCCAGCTCACGCCACTGAAGTGAACTGCAGATTTCCCCACAAGACGTCACGTGGCCTACGCTTCCACGCTGGACACAAATAGTCACACTTTACCCCACCATGTCCGACCTGCCAATCGGCTCACTAAATAAATTGGTACCGCATATTAATTGAAATCAACGGTAAAAACGTCGTCCTTTTGAGATGAACAAAAATGATATTAATCTATGAATGAAAAAAAACAAAAACCTTGCTTGAGTTACTCTTACCTTGCAAAGAGGCAATGTGATAAGACATTAATAACGATAATAATTTACAATTGTAAGACACATTTCATCCGTAGAACCCAATGCGCTGTGTATGGAAATCAGGGAATTATCAGAACCTGCAGGTTAAACGGGCAGAACTAGTGGAGCTAAAGGCCAGATTAAAAAGGTGAGTTTTCAAATAAATATCGCTCTCATCACTCGAATTGCTTATTAGCATGCAGCCCAGAACATTCTCACTTGATAAATCATTTCACGCGGATTACATTTTTTGGTTTTTTACATTTCTTTTATTGTCTTTCCGCTCGCTTTTTTTTCACTTGATTCCCGGACAGCGATTGAGGGTGTCATGCACCATGTCCTGCAAGGTAAACCTCACCCGCCTGCCAGTCCAAGCCTGTTTACCGACGCCGTGTCTGCGCTGTGACTTTTAAACGCGCGATTTTCGAAAGCGGCAAATCGTTGATTATATATACGTAAGGTATGCCTACATTCTAAAAAATTTAAACTTGTATTACGAAATGAAATGCATTGGCATGAAGTGTAATATGATCGAGTACATTCTAAATAATGACGATAGTATAATCGGCCAAAGCAGTAGCGCGGTGATTCACGCACTGCACCTATGAAGCCACTGCAACAGAGTTCGATTCCCACCCACGGCTAACGTCAACGATATCTGAACCGGTCACCGACCCGCACTGACCCAGTGAGGTTCAGTGCGGTCGAACAACCCCCATGGCCACACGGCATGGGATGCCTTCATCCAGCAGTGGAATTTTCAAAGGCTGAAAATGTCTTATTCCTTTGTTAATATAGTTTTTATTAAACGGGAAATCTATCCTCAGCTTTGGTGCTTTCGTCAATCGGTGATTTGCCCTCATTAGCACTCCCTGCCTTGTCCCGTGACCCTGTAGTAATGTGTTTCCCGATGACTCTACCCGCGCGTGTGTGTCGGAGATAGTGAGTGCCTCTGTGTGTGTGTTTATCCTATAAATAAGCCAGTGTGAAGGTAAAACAGAGGGATGCATACGTGTCAAAAGGTTTTTACCTCCATTTTTTTGGATGTGGCAGCCCTAATGGTGCTTTTTTTTAGAGAACGATGTCACAAGTGCATTTATAGGTCATGTAAAAGACAAGCCTTTTAGCGATTGTGCACGTGTCTCTCTGGCTCGGGAAGCCATTCACATTTGAATGCAACTGTATTGGAAGACTGTAGAGTTTACGTAAGCGTTGTGCCCGTTTTACCGGTGTGTGGGCAGAAATAGTGGTGCATGAACAATCACTATTTGAGCTGAATACGTTTGTATTTGGTGGGATGAGGTGGTGCATTGGTAAGCATTCTGCACTATGAACCTAGTGACCCAAGTTCGATTCCTGGCCATGTGCTAACATCATACATTTGTTTGAGATGGGTTATTTTGTATTTGGGCGGATGAGGTGGTGCATTGGTAAGCATTCTGCACTATGAACCTAGTGACCCAAGTTCGCTCCTGGCCATGTGCCAACATCATACATTTGTTTGAGATGGGTACTTTTGTATTTGGGCGGATGAGATGGTGCATTGGTAAGCATTCTGCACTATGAACCTAGTGACCCAAGTTCGATTCCTGGCCATGTGCTAACATCGTACATTTGTTTGAGATGGCTACTTTTGTATTTGGGCGGATGAGATGGTGCATTGGTAAGCTTTCTGCACTATGAATCTAATGACCTAAATTGGAATCCTGGCCCTGGCTAACATCATACAATTTTTTTAGATGGGTTCTATTGTATTTGGGCGGATGAGATGGTGCATTGGTAAGCTTTCTGCACTATGAATCTAATGACCCAAATTCGAATCCTCGCCCTGGCTAACATCATACATTTGTTTGAGATGGGTTCTATTGTATTTGGGCGGATGAGATGGTGCTTTGGTAAGCTTTCTGCACTATGAATCTAATGACCCAAATTCGAATCCTCGCCCTGGCTAACATCATACATTTGTTTGAGATGGGTTATTTTGTATTTGGGCGAATGAGATGGTGCATTGGTAAGCTTTCTGCACTATGAATCTAATGACCCAAATTCGAATCCTCGCCCTGACCAACATCATACATTTGTTTGAGATGGGTTCTATTGTATTTGGGCGGATGAGATGGTGCATTGGTAAGCTTTCCGCACTATGAATCTAATGACCCAAATTCGAATCCTGGCCCTGGCTAACATCATACATTTGTTTGAGATGGGTTATTTTGTATTTGGGCGGATGAGGTGGTGCATCGGTAAGCATTCTGCACTATGAATCTGTAGTGCCGTAGATGTGCCACGCTTACCGGCAGTGGTAGACAGGGCCCATCACAACTTCTACAAAGTGTCTCTGGAACCCATCACAAATCTAATGACCCAAATTCGAATCCTGGCCCTGGCTAATATCAGTGAAGAGTGATGTCTGAACTAATCTTGGGCACTCACCCGACAATCACTCACTTGCACTGACCAACATGGTGAAGTATATAAAAAAAATACTTTATGATTGACATGGCGTGGGGAGGCCTTCATCCAGCAGTGGAATAGGAAAGGACTGTAAATGAATAGGAATATGATTAATTTTAATGTTTTACCTACGTGACTTTACCGAAAAAAACCTAAGAATATGAATCCTGCAGTCACGAAAGCTTCAAATCTAGAATGAAGGAATATGATGCTTTTGTATTTTCAAGGGTCATGAAGCGAGTCAAGGAGGTGCTTGGAAATGTTTACATTTTCAACGCACGTGTGCATTTACCCACATTCTGCACCGCTCCGCAAAACCAGGGGTGGACTCGTCTTCCTGGGTGGAATTGATCATTGCTGACAGCGGCGTTAATATTGCACGCAGACAAAAAAAGTGCTTTGTTCGGCAGAGATCCTCAGCTTTCCCCGTTAGAAACGTGCGCCTTTACGTTTCTGTGTTGGTGATCTTAAGAAAAATGTGCGAATGTCTGCTGCATTGCAAGGGTGGCCCATGTGAGACCTCGTGTGCCCGCAACCGGTCCATCTTTACACATTAAGTCATCTGCTGCTGTGCACAACATCTCGAGAGAAATGGACACATTTAACTTCAAACGCGATTCCTGTCGGTTTAACACGCAGGCTTTCGTGACCAATATCACTCATAATACAGGTTTTTTTGGTTTTGGGTTAAATCGCGTAACAAATGAACCCGTAAAAACAAAGTTTTTCACTATAAATCCTTTATATGCGTGGCGGCTAGAGTCCTCTCGTCCTCTGGCTTGAGATGACTGCCACCTATGGGTCAGATGATTGCCTGCCACCATTAAGCCATTGGCAATTAAATATAATTTTCTTTTCCTAAAAAGTGTAAAGTTATGGAAAAAAAATTTCACGAAAATAAATTGTCACGCACAACGAGTCTGTGTGCAAAATGTCAGCTCGATTGGATCACGGGAAGTGGGTTAAAAAACGACCGAAAGATTTGCACGATCGTAAGCGCGCAAGCAAGCAAGCAAGTGAACTTAATATAAAGGATTTAAAAATATAAATGTGTCGTTAAACCCGCCACCACCCGACACAGCCAATTAGTAGGGTTTGTCACGTAAACAGAACGTGCCAATTCGTTACCAGTACAGCACACCGGTGTGTTGGAGAGCAACCTGTATTATGGACGATTCCTTTCATTCATTAATGCATTTATTTGCCCAGGAAAGCCCTCACTGAGTGAGTCTCAAGGCTGTTTTTCAGGAGGGTTCTTCTAAATTTAATGGTGTTTTCCCAATTGAGTCATAAAGAGAGTTGTTCAAAATGTGTCAGGTTGGATCGCGTGTTGCTTGCAACAGACAGGGATCTTTAACGGGTGACCCTCAGAGTGGCCTCCTGGGAGATACGGCTTGCCGAGACACGGCAGAGAGACAGACAGGAGATAGACATGAGAGAGCTGTCGACAAAGAGATACAGGTTAATGAAAGAGAGATAAACCAGACGTGGAGTTGAGAGAGCTAGATACGACGGATACAGATCAGTGGTCACATGTGCAGATGTTATGACGTCACGACGCCACGTGACATCGTAAAATCTGCACTGTGTGATGCTGTCGCGCCACGTGGTCCACTAGCGCATGCTAATTGTGTTACTTGCCCTCCTCCTCCCCACATCGCCTGGGGAAGTACAGCTGAAGAACCCAGGCACACGAGTCCCGTGTGCGTTGGTCATGCTTTTGTCAAGTGCGGGACAGTTTTTTTTTTAATGAGACATTCCTTTTTGCAGGTACTCCGAAGTGGCCTAAAGAAGTCCTGGAGCCGAAGAGGGTGGATGAGGGAAGGTCCGTGGTGCTGCCCTGCAATCCACCCTTCGGACTGCCGCCTCCCATTATCTACTGGATGACGAGCAGTAAGGCCCCGCTGTCATTCTGCGTGACGAACAGGATTCACACAGGGACTAACACTTTTCCTGTGTTGAGTAAAAAATAAAAATAAACTATTCTTTTTACAGAGGCAAGAGCCTCTCTTTTCCAGAAGAGACATGGCCACAAATGATGGCTTCAATGAAGTGGTTTATCATTTATGTGGAAATGTAAAGCAAACAAACACTCTAAGCGCACATTGATTCTAAATGTGGAGGGAAAAGCCGGAGGACCCAGAGAAAAATCTACGCGACCATGGGGAGAACACACAAACTCCAATAATACAAGCGTCAGGGTCGGGATCGAACTCACGACCTCTTGTATGCCAGGCAAGGTAGTTAACATCTCGCCACCGTGGCAGATATGTGAAAAGGTTGGCTACGTGGACATTTATATATATTCATTTATGATTCGAGAGTCCAAATACACAACACAGACATCTGAGAGGCATACACAGGTTATGATCGTGTAACAGTCCAGAGGGATATTTGGACCTTTAATAAAATTACTTATAGTTTACTGGGCACAGCTAAAGTGCACAATGTTTTGAATGTAGGGAAAAGCTTTACTTTCAAAGAAAAACTTCTGCTTTCCTGAATATTATGAAATGGGTCCGTAGAGTGAAATGAGTGACTCACGGACCTGGTGTATAACGGAGGGGACATTTAGCGGCAAGCGAATTTACGCGAGATTAAGAACACAATACTGTACGTGCAAGTGGTCGGATTTCTATAACACCGCGGGAAAATGGCGGTTGGCACTGCACAGGGTCTACCTACGCGCACATGACGGTCGGATACGTGGCGTTGTGAAAAATAGATTACACGTAAAATTCAATTAGAAAGAGGAGCTGTCCACATGCAACTGCAATGGCAATGCTTCTCTCTGACAGCTGCGCTCCGGTCATGTGTCCATGGCTCCCCATGCCTCACCCCCCTCACCGCCACGTGACCGTTTCTGTCCTGCACCAGCGCTCGACCACATCCGTCAGGACCGCAGGGTGACGCAGGGGCTCAACGGCGACCTGTACTTCGCGAACGTGATTTCGTCGGACAGCCGAGAGGACTACACGTGCTACGCCCAGTTCAAGGCGTCTCGCACCATCATCCAGAAGGAGCCCATCAAGCTCCAAGTGAACCCGCGTGAGCAGCGCGTTCGTTCTCTTGCGTTCGTTTTGTTGATATATATACACGTACATACGATCTTAATTTCTGCGTAGCGCCATTATTAAAAAATAATGCATCACGAAAACGCCGTGGAATTTTAACGCGCGCAGAATCCCCCTCCTGCAGAGGCGCGGGGAAGTGCAGACGATGCGGGAAAGTGTCCCAGAACTGACTCCAGCAATTGCCCGAGCTCTGTGATCCTACACTAGGGTTGATTTTAAAAATATACATTTTTATTGAGGCGATGTATGCGGGCCCGTTACGTCACGCTGTGACGCACGTCCTACGCACCGTCAACATAAGCCAAACCGGTTAAGAGAAAGGAGGGGGACTACGACATTGGGATGTTTGGTGAACTGCCATGGATGAGTGTCTATACATGTGGGAGGATATCTGAGTGTCCGGAGATGACTCACGCATCGAGGTGGAGGGGGGCGGGGTGGTATCACCACGTGTGTACGGGTGTAATAGCGAGCTGAGGCTTTCAGTTTATCTTCGCTCAGTATATTTTATCGAAACAGAAATGGAAAGGCGATGAGCCTGGCAATGTCTTGCTCGCACGTTGCTGGCGGAATGACCTCTCTCGAGAGAGTTTTGTTGGCCTACTCCTCCATATTGGTCAGATGCCTTGGAAGAGGTGGGGAGTTACCCCCACTCCACCCCACCCCAAGTGACCTGCTCATAGACTCATTGCAGTGATTCTAGATTTGAAGCTTTTGTGACTACAAGGATTCATATTCTTGGGTTTTTTTCGCTAAAGTCACGTAGGTAAAAAAAATAAAGTTAAAATTAGTAAAATGAAAATAAAATACAAATAAAAATCACGACGTTTCGAAGGCAACACAAACTTCCATCACAGCCCGACAGCTGTACTTGATGTATCAAGTACAGCTGTCGGGCTTTGACGGTTCCACCTGAAGACGGAAGCTTGTGTTGCCTCCGAAACGTCGTGATTTTTATTTTTTTTATTTTTATTTTATTTTCATTTTACTAATTTTAATTTTAATTTTTTTACCTACGTGACTTTACCGAAAAAAACCCCAGAATATCATTGCAGTGAACCCATTAATGCTGCTGGGTGGACAGAAGCAGGGAGGATCGAACAAACCCCTCACACTAGAATGCTCACAATCTAATGTGAGGAGTTTGCCGGCGTTGTATTGCATCGCAAATCCTGACAGCGTGTTGGTTTTCCATCAACACCATCCAAGGCCATTCCATGCGTTGGTAATGTATGGTTGTTGTTTTGGCAAACTAGTGTTTTGTGCCTAATTTATGTCTCCCATCGGGCACGGCTATGAGAGTCCCGACGAAAACAATCAATTCAGGTTTATGTCACCAGGCGGTTGATATAACTGTGCAGCAGGCAGCGCTGTTTCCCAAAACAGTGTCCCTACCTCGGTGCTTCTGTACACGGGGTCCTAGGGACCCACTCAACACCCACCTTCCTTACCGTGTCCAGAAAATGTAGTCCGTATAGATTAAATAACATGTATAAAACATTTCGATTTAAAGCTTTCGTGACTGCAATGATTCATCTTCTTGGTTCTTTCGGTAAAGTCACGTAGAATGGAAATAAAAAAATAATAAAAATAAAACATAATAAAATAATTCTCACGACGTTTCGGCCACAACGCAAGCAGCCGTCTTCAGGTGAAGAACAGGTCTGTCGATAAGACAACGCAAGCAGCCGTCTTCATGTGAAGAACAGGTCTGTCGATAAGAACAGGTCTGTCGATAACACAGAGTCTGTCTTATCGACAGACCTGTTCTTCACCTGAAGACGGCTGCTTGCGTTGACAGACTCTGTCTTATCGACAGACCTGTTCTTCACCTGAAGACGGCTGCTTGCGTTGTGGCCGAAACGTCGTGAGAATTATTTTATTATGTTTTATTTTTATTTTATTATTTCCATTCTACGTGACACTACCGAAAGAACCAAGAAGATGTATAAAACATTTTTCGCAGTATGCCTACGTCGAGTGCAATGGCTGGCACACTGGACTTGTGGTGCAGAGGTCACTGGGTCACCCGCAGCAGTTGATGCAATGGGGCAATCTTTTTATTTTTGTAACTTCGCCGTCTGTGGCTCCACGAGAGATTGTTACTTCCATTTGCAATGCGGTGAGGTTGTCGTGTGGGTACTCTCACCAATTCCTAGATGTCCGGCCAGAGTGGACAAGTAGGCCAAATACTCTCTCAAAGATCCCTATAGCAGAGGCCCTTCTGGCAGCAGTGGCATGAGATGGAACTTGCAGGGCTGCACCTCTATCCGTTACTGTATCAAGATCTTGCATGAAACTATTCTGTGGGTCAGACCAAGCAACCTTATTTTTTATTCTTAATATCTTGTTCCTTTTCGCTTGCATTTTTAAGTTTGCCATTATGTTATTTTTTACGTAGCCATTTGCATGCTTTTGTTTACAGTTGCTGTTCATAATGATTCATTGGCAACTAATGTGGATGGGAAGCAGTTAGGTGGTGGTAAGTGTCCCTCGGAACTAACCTCGTGTTGATGTGTAGCTTTAACCACAACCTCACTTTGCTTTTAATCGTTTTTTGCTAAACCGGTACATGTTGAAATTAACCTTGCACTGATTTTAGATGCTAACTTTGCCGTGGTGCGTGTTTACTCTGCTTATTTCTAGTGGCATATTAGGGATCTCCAGGCTGCCTATTAACAGAAAATATAATGTCACAAATATTTATTTTGAGGGAAAATTACCAACGTTTTACTATTGATATTCAAATTTAAGACTGTCCATTAGGGACAAAATATTGACATTATATTTGTGTAAGGGCTCCATGGAGTATCGTACAGTTTTGACATTATTATTTACTCAATCTGTCTGGCCTCTCTATCTCTCTGCTATGAAGAAGTCTCATTTCCCACTTTCTATATGTTTTTTCTGTCTTAGGACCGTGTTATTCATACGTGTCAAATGTTTAGTTTGTGTTGATGCACCACTGCCAAACCAGTATCACGAATACATTTGACGTCTTAACATGCCGATTGAGTTTTTAAAGTGATTTATTCTTTGAAACGGTTTCAAAGACTGGGGAAAATAAATGATTTTCTTTGTTTCTAAAATACCGTTAGTTCTGCCTTACTCCTTTGAAAAATTTATGGCCCTCGCCACTTTGTCAAAACCTCGGTGGGATTGAAACTTGAGCTACGACCATGCCTGCATCCATCTGGTGTTTGTGGGATTTTCCTTTCGAGAAGCCCCACTGGACCATATGTCCGCACATTTTGTCGGAGGCAAAAAACAAAAACACACGGAGAAGAATTATATTTTCTGTCCGTAGACTGGACTTGAAAGAAATCCGTAATGCCGTTGTGAAGAAGAAAAAAAGCGACGATCAAACAAATGTTTTACAACCGTTTATGATTTTTTTTGTCATTTGAATTGGGTACATTGACTAAGCACTCCACAGTCACGGAAAGCAGAGCGCCTAAATCACTGCGGAACATTGCTCCGTAAACTTTCTTGTGAATTGTAGCGCGTCTCGTTGATAACGCCTTTTCCAAATCAAATCGGTGCGTATCGTATCCCATGCGAAATGAGGCCGACGTTGATCAAACGCGAACTTAATCTCACATTTATTCGTTCGTGTTTGATTTTTCAAGACGACGGCGGTCATTTGTGGCCAAAGCAGCTAAATTAATGCTTCAAGCTGCTCCAAGCCACTGGTATTGATCGGGGAGGCTAGTGACAATGACAGCATGCAATCCCCGTTAGTGCTGGATCACGTAAGGCCTCGACCGCACGCTTAAACCACCCCCCCCCCTGTGTGTGTGTAAAATAAAGTACGTCATCACTATTCATGAGCGCACCTTCCTATGTTTTTTACATCTAAAAAAAAACAACCCAAACAAAGTGAATGATTGTGCAAAAGTGCATCTAGTCACTGCTGAGCCAGTGGTGGAAACTCCACTAGCTAGAGAGTCTCTCCAGAGGGCCACCGCTGTCGACTTCCCCGCAAAGTGGTACCCGTTTTATCGACCCTGGGAGTGAAGATGAGCCCAGCGAACCGCCCCAACCTTTGAAATTTGAACTTTTGCAACCTCTCCCATCGCGAGCCTCTCGATCTCACCCCGAGCCGCCTCACGGCTTGCCGACTTGCAAACGACGACCTTGATCATTTTCAGCGCGCCAAAGCGCTTTTGACTCTGAGTGCCCCCCCCCCTCGTATCGTGCTGATGCCGCAGCTCCCGCCGCCACCGCCGCAGTTTCACCGCGGTGCCCCCGCCCCCCCCGCTTGTCTCCGGCAGGCCGCCTGCAAAGCCGTCCGGCCAGGATGCTCACCCCCCTCGGGAAGAGCAGCAGCAAGCACGCGCTGAGAGGGGACGATCTTCTCCTGGAGTGCATCGCCGAGGGGCTGTGAGTGCCGGACCCCCCCCTCATGCCCCCTCCCATGCACCCCCCACGCCGCCCCCGTGCCCCCCCATGCCCCCCCCCCCACGCCACCCCCATGCCCCCTCCCCCATGCCCCCTCCCCCATGCCCCCCACGCCGCCCCCCCATGTCCCCCCATGCCCCTCCCATGCCTTGCCATGCCCCCCCCCATGCCCCCCCCCACGCCGCCTCCATGCCCCCCAATGCCCCCCCATTCCCCCCCCATGCCCCCTCCCCACGCCACCCCCATGCCCCCCTCCACGCCGCGTCAAACCTTCGGCCCGCACCTGGCCGGGCGTGGTGCTGGCCACCCGCCGGCTCTTGTGTTGTGACGGCCTTCGTAGGTGCTCGCTGGCAGCACTTGCCCTGACAGTCTGTTCGAGGCTATATAGGGAACCTTTGTCTTTGCATGCCGTGTATGTTGAAACCTCTGTCGACACCGTACGTAGCCGGCCGTGCTGATCGGAGATGCAGGGGATGGACAACAAACTAAACACACGAATCTGGATTTGAAGCTTTCGTGACTGCAGGAATCCATACTCTTTGGTTCTTTCGGTCGCGTAGGTAGAACATTAATAGTTCCCCTGCTGTGTTGATATCACCTGATGACGGTCGCTTGTGTTGCGATCAAAACGTCGTGATCTATGATTTTCTACCTACGTGACTTTACCGAAAGAACCGAAGAGTATAAACAGACGAAAAATTATAATTTCTAAAGAAATTAGTTTTCAATCTGGATGAGGATGCATACCGTGTGGCACATGCGTCACGCGCTCCCTGGCGCTGCACGTTGGATTTGTGCGTTGAACTTCTTTCGCACTGCACGTAGCCAACAAACTGCGGTCATCCCCGTCGCAAGCGGCTTTTGGCTCGCCGTCGAACAAAGACGGTCTCACCGCATCACGTGCTTTCAGATGCGCTTTCTGCGGGACGTGTGAAACGCTCTTCCTTCCGATGTGAGGAAGCCAATGGTAGCAGCACTTTAAATCATCTAGATTAAGAACTCATTTCTTTAGAACTGCTTTTTGTGTTAAGTGTGTTGTCCTTCCCCCGCATCTACGATTAGCGCGGTTGGCTACGTATCTTGTAAAAGAAGTTCAACACACATACAAACGTTGAACTTTACCGCATTAACAATTCTATTCGCTTTGCGTTGTGCGGTCGATGCGTTGGCTTTGGGTTATCCGTTGTGTAGTGCCATCTGGTGGGTGTGTATGCCAATGCAGCTGAGCAGGTTGACATTGACCGCGTGTGTTTGCCTTCCGTCAGCAATGTCACGCGCCCGCTCTCCCGTCGGAGCCGGGAATCCCAGGCATTGCATTGCGCGCTGTCTCGTGCTCCAGCTGCATGTAAACAGAGATTGGTAGATGCGTCAAGTAACGTGACCTTGTTTAAAGCGTGTTGGTGGGGGGTGGGGTTGACGCGTGGGTGGAGGCACAGTGAATGTCAACTTTAAACGAGTGTTAATCGCTAAACACAATTAGTGACGATGCCATCTGCTTGTGTAACGATCCTGTAGGAAAGGCTGCGACCGGCTTATTGCCTATTTGCCGAAAACAACGCAAGTCAAAGTGATTTCCTGCTCAAGTTGAGCATCTTCCGTTTACAGTTCTGAGCCAGCGGTGGAAATTTTACATTTCTAGGGATGGGTCCAGTCTCTCCATCGGACGAACCACCGCTGATGAAAATCAACAAAGCGGTTCCCTATTAAATCCTTTATATTAAGTTCACTTGCTTGCTTACGACCGTGCAAATCTTTCGTTCTTTTTAACCCACTTCCCGTGATCCAATCGAGCTGACATTTTGCACACAGACTCGTTGTACGTGACAATTTATTTTCGTAAAAACATTTTTCCAAAATTTTTCACTTTTTAGGATTTTTTTTTTCATATTTAATGTAAAATACCAATGTGATAAAAATGAAACTCTTACTCAAGAAAAAACAGAAATGAATAATAAAATAAAACCGATGCCACGCATATAAAGGATTTAAAGTGAAAAACTTTGTTTTTACGGGTTAATTTTTTTTATCGATCTGATGGGCCGAGTCAGCCATCAAGCAGGATGATTTGAACCCGCAGTCTTTTCCGGATGTGAGCGGCTCGCTCTGCCGATTATCCACTCGTTCAGGTGACTTAAAATAACGTACCAACATTTTTTTTGCTTGACTATAAATATTTAGAATGGTGGGCTGAGCCTTCAGCAAAGGTCGGGGGGAGGGGGGGGAGTGGGGCAGCTCCCTCCACCATCTCTCGTCTGAAAAGTGTATTTTTTCACGCGTTCAACGCAACGAATACACGAAAGCACAGCATCGGGGCGGTACACGGTGTCTGTATGACCCGGCCTGAACCCGTGCAAACGGTGAGTGCCGCTAGTTGTGATCTTGGTAACGGCAGCAGCAGCAGCAGCACACAAGGGAAAGGCAAACTGAAAGAGTGGCGGAGTGATGTGCGGTGAGCACACAGTGGGGTGACACGAGTCAACGAGAGACCAGATCTTCCTACAAACGATGAGCGATCACCGCTACAGAGGCCCAGAGGTGTTCAAGACTGGATATCGCCATTCATCCATTGCCTCGGTTATTACGTCTTAAGGGTACTGAAGGGTGCCCGGCATAGATGTAATAACACGGTTGAATCATCATCACCATCATCATCACTAACGTTGTTGTCGTGAATTTGCTTGAGCCGACAGGCCGACGCCATACATCACTTGGCGCAAGTTGGACGGCAGCCTTCCCCAGGGCACGCTGAGCTTGGAGAACTTCAACAAGACTCTGCGCATCTCGCCCGTGTCGCTGAGAAACGCCGGCCAGTACGAGTGCACCGCCAGCAACCCCCAGGGCACCGACAAGCACGTGTTCGACGTCACCATCGACGGTCGGTCCCGATGCGTCGTGCGGCCGATACATCGCAGAGAGAGGGTAGGGGGGGAGGGGGCGTCCGGCATAGCCGTTTGTTAACGCCGGCCACTGGCCAATCCAAACAGGATTTTGAAGTCGCCGCAAAAACCTTTTCCGAATCGCGAGCTGCTCGATGAGTCGATGCCCATCACGGGCAGGGCAGCGAGCGGTTTGTTAGTGAGGTGTGAGATGCTACACTGCATCTCACGCTTTATTGTTTGAGCCGGCGAGGGCTCCATTGAGCGGCTCTGCGACAAGGACGAGCACAGCGCAAGACATTCGGCAGTGACGGAGCAGCCCTCTTGCTTCCACCGTGCCACTTGCGATTGGAAGGTTCCAAGGTCAAGCGACGATCTGTCGGCGGTTGATAAAAATGAGTACCACTTTGTGGGTAGTCTCGAGTGGCCGTCCCATGGAGAGAAAAATACTCCTGCCAACGAAAAGTGGAGTTTTCCAATACTGGATTAGGGAACACCAACGCGAATGGACACCCTCCTTTGAGTAACCGAGCAGAGAGATACTCTGACTTTTCGTTTTGACTTCATTGTTGTTATTGCTGTCGTCATTGCAGCCGCTCCCTACTGGACATCGAAGCCGGAGGGGAAGACAGTTGTTCCAGGAGACGATGCCAACCTGTACTGCGAGGCGGATGGCAAACCCAAGCCCAAGATCCAATGGCTCATCAACGGCGTTCCTGTGGAAGGTGCGCTCATTGCAGTATTGTATGTTGAACTTCTTTTTCAACGTACGTAGCCGACCGCGATAATCGGAGGTGCGGGGGGAAATAGAACAAAGGAAGCACGTAAAAGTAGCTGTTGTAAAGAAATTAGTTTTCAATATAGATTTAAAAGTGCACAACTCCAGTGCTTCCTAATAACGGAAGGAGGAGCGTTCCAGACGGCCCGCAGAAGTGCACGTGTAAGCGCGCGTTATGGTGACTGTCTGTGTTCGATGGTCAGCCCAAAATCCGGTCGCCCTATTGCAGCGTGGGCCTCTGCAATAACTCTACCAGTCGCCGTCATTTCCCGTCAATTATACATTGGGTGAGCACACCGATGGCGGCTGGTGTAGGGTTCGGGTGAATACCCGAGACAACACATGACGTGGGGCCATTTCACTGCAGCAGAGAGGATGTAGTCTGAAATTTCCCCAACGTCGTCATGGATTTTAGGCCCCACAAAGCCACTGCCTGATTCCTCTACCCTTGCTGCAGACTTGGTCTACGTGACTGCTCAGTCTCTGCCACACTGGGTTAAGCCACTACCACACTGCAGATCACAACAACACACACTCTGCTCACTTACACTATCACCACACTGCAGGTTACAACAACACACTCACTCAGCTCACTCACACTCTCACCACACTGCAGATCACAACAACACACACTCAGCTCACTTACACTCTCACCGCACTGCAGGTCACAACAACACACTCACACTCTCACTCACCAAAGTGCACCTAGCATGGCACACGCGCCGCGGTGACGTCACCGACACTCCGTGGGTTAAACGACGGTTTTTGTTGTTGTTGTTGTTGCGCGTGATTCGTAAACACGCGGAGCTAACGCCGTCGTTTGTTCTTCCCCAGAGGTGCCGCACAACCCAAACCGCATCGTCAGGGGGGACCTTGTCACGCTGAAGCGGCTGCCGATTGGCGGCAGTGCCGTGTACCAGTGCCAAGCAACGAACAAACACGGCTCCTCGCTCGCCAACGTCTTCGTCAATGTGCTGGGTGAGCGAGCGAGCGAGAGAAAAAATAACCCACCGCCGATCTCGTAGCTGTCAATTCACGCGGGTTCACCCCGTATTCTTGTACATGGACATTGAGTTTTCGGGTCCATAGGGCTGACAGCCGATCGCCCGATGAGGCGAGTTGCAACTGGTGGAGAAACGTCGTACTCAGATTGTAAATGTTGTGGCTTGGCTCTCCAACACACCGGCTAGTGCTGTACTAGTGACGAATTGACACGTTCTGTTTACGTGACAATGCTTAGTAATTGGCTGTGTCAGGTGGTGAGGGTTTGAAGACACATTTATATATTTAAGCGATCTGACCCAAAAAAAACTGTATTATGGCGTACTGACGTTTCAATACGAGCAAAACATTTTTTTTAACGATTTGTTTGTGTTTCTCCCTTGTGATGGGACTTTGTAGGATTCATAAGGGCACGAGATGACCAATAATGTCTGAATTGGTCTGTAGTAAGGTAGGGCACTGATAAGGGGTTGACAGGTGCGTGGTGATGGGTAGGGGGGGGCAATGATTGTATGTTCTGATTTAGTGGGTAATTTTTCAAATTCGTAGTCTGAATCTGTTCGTCGTGCACTTTAATGTATGCCAGCCCCGGTGAAAGTTCCTATATCTATGTCTTCATGAATAATACTAATAATACTCTAGCGTAATCAAAGCGCACAGATCGAATGATTCAGAGGTGTGAAGACTGTTTGAAGCAACGTCAGCAAATTGCCCAAACTCTGTTAATATCTAGAAAGGATGAATTTATAATAAAAACTATGAATACTAACAGAGGTAGAGAAGTATAGGGACTTCCTACCTATACTTCTATAATATATATTTGTTCATAATCAATGTATTAATTCGATACGTAGGAACAGTCATATTTATGAAGTGATACACATGGTCGACTCGCTGCGCGTGGACGCTGCCGGATGACCAAATCAGCCGGAATGGCATCCAGTCGCACGGTCCATCTCCAGAGGCTGCAAAATCTGTCCCGTTGGCAGGGGCTCGGAGATGGAGCGATGAAATGAGGGGCGTGGGGGAGGCCTTCATCCACCAGTGGAATGATCATGGCTGATGATCATTAAAATTAGTTCAGAAACTTATAACGCCCCCTCCCATCACTCACCCCCAAGGTTAGCGTGGTGAAAATTCCCAGTCATTTTTTTGTTTTTGTTTATTACAGAGGACAACATCGTAGTTTGTATAGAATCCATCATCAATGCCATAGGGCCCTTGTTTAACATGTAGTTGTAGGCTTTCACGAACCAATATTGTCCACAATAGAGGATTTTCGGTTAGATCGCGTATAATATAAATGTTTCGTTAAACCCACCACCACCCGCCACAGCCAATTAGTAAGGTTTGTCACGTGAACAAAACATGACAATTTGTTACTAGTTCAGCACACCGGAGTGTGTTGGAGAGTAAACCCGCTACATTTACAATTCAAGTGCGATGTTTCGCCAGTAATTACAACCAGCATCATTAGGCAACAGACAGAGTTGTGGAGAAATCCTCCTCCTGTTTCGCTCTGCAATACACCGCTTAGTGCTGTACTAGTAACGAATTAGCACTGTTCTGTTTACGTGACAAAACTCACTTATTGGCTGTGTCGGGTGGCGGCGGGCTTTCACGAGCACATTTATATTTACACGATCTAACTAAAAACCTCCATTATAGGGCCCTAGTTCTTTCTGCAGTCAGAATGAGCTTTTGATCCACAAAATAAAGACCCAGGTGGTCACTCTGACTGACAGACTCACTCATGGATGAACAAATTAAGTTTCTCACGTGATGTTAAATGTTGTTCAAAAAAACAAGACAATGCCCACCCGCGCACGCTTTTTCTCACGTTTGTTTTTCAAAACCGGTGTCTTGTCCATTCGACATTTGTACGACAAGTCATCAATTACGCGTTGCGTGTGTTTTTGTTGTTGTTATAATATTTTTTTTTATTAAACAAGAGTGTGGCACAAAGCGCGAGAAACGGGGAGATGTGGGGGTACAGATATTCCGCGGTATGTTGTGTGTGTTTCATATCGCGTGTCGCTACATATGAAATTACAGCCTTCTAATTACGTAGCTGGGTTGCACCGCACGTTGTGCGACGTCACATCTCGACGTTTCGCTCCATCGCGCTCGGAGCTTCTTCAGGAACACGTCGGAGAGAGAGGGAGGGGGGGGGGGCTGTACAGCAGAGGTCGCAAACGGGTTTTGATTTTTTACCCGTACCCGTACCCGGCCGCACCAGGGTCGCAAACGGGTACCCGTACCCTACCCGATACCCGGCTACCCGTACCCGGCCGGGTATCGGGTAGGGTACGGGTATCGGGTACCTGATTGCGACCTCTGGGATGAAGCCATGTTGCAGGCGCGGGTGGGTTGATTCTAGGAACTTGAATTGTGAGAAGAGACAAGACGTTGGGAAATGAGTGACAAACGGTTACTCACCAGTGACTCACGGCCTACCCGTACCCGGCCGCACCAGGGTCGCAAACGGCTACCCGTACCCTACCCGATACCCGTACCCGGCCGGGTATGGGTAGCCAGGTATCGGGTAGGGTACGGGTATTGGGTACCCGGTTGCGACCTCTGCTGTACAGCGTAAGCGTGGAAACCCGTGCAAGCTGATGCGTACGACGTCGCTGGCCTTCTGTGTGTGTCTGCAGCGGTGGCCCCACTCATACAAACGGAAAACAACAAAGTTTACGAGGTGGTGGAAAACAAGGCGATTGCCCTGGAGTGCAAAGCGTTTGGCTCACCCAAGCCTGTGATGCAATGGTAAGAGACTCGGCATCGCAATTAAGGATGCTGGCAATGCAATCCCTCGCCCCGATAATTAAACGAATTGCCATAATACAGGGCCATGGTTTGATTCAGGAATTGGCATTTTTTCCCCCTCTTAATTACACCATCTTGTTTGCATTGTTTAGCAATTCTTTCTGCGTTGTCTGCACAGTTGTATTCTCTGTACGTACCACGAGCATACATTTTGCATACAGTGCAAGTGTGTTCACTTTGTGTTCTGTCTCGAGATGGGTCGGAGGCACAATTCTCTCCTCCGTGTGTAGCCTTTGTCTTCCACTGCTCCCTTCATCTCTTCGTATGTCCTGCCTTGGTGAACATCGCCAACGCGTTCACCATTCTTTCTCTTCCTCTCGGTCTCCTCCCAAAGAATGTCCCCTCGATCACCGCCTTCAATAAGTCATTCACGTTCACCACTGTTGATGTATACATCGTAAGCAATGCATTCGTTCATACGCGATTCGATGCGCGTATCTGTCGCGAGCGTAGAGTGCCAATATGAATCGATGAATCGGTGCATTGTCGATGTCGGTGGTAGTTATACATTCCTGTAATCCTGCACTGTGGAGGCAGTGAGGGCTGATGGATTACAACCCCAACCCCCACCCCGCTCCCTCCTCTGTGGGTATCGAGGTGTGATTCCCTGGCTTGGGATAGAGTATTGCCCCCTCGCACTTGTGCGTTTGCTCCATGTGCTCCGGCTTTCTCTCACACGTATGAATGCTCACGAATGGGCTGAAAGCATCTTAATATATGGCGATGGTTGCAGGCCGGCCCACCGGCTGGCTGTCTTGCAGCTTGTTCGTGGTTGCTCAGCGACTGTGAGATGCAATTTGCACTAACGACGACGCTCTATAAACCGAGCAATCGTTATCGCTGTTACGCACCTTTCCGTTCTTCCTAGGTCCAAGGAGAAGAATGAAAATGTCGTCTACGCAAATGGAAACCTCTTCATCCAGAGGACCACCAAGCGCGACCAAGGGCTGTACACGTGCACTGCGACCAATGAGCTCAACTCGACGAGCATTCAAGCCAACCTCATCGTCAGAGGTGCGTGACTTGATACACAGACAGCCCAGAGCCCGCTCCCTCCTCACTGGCTCTCCAAAAATGCTCGCGGGCTCTCAACGTGCGCCATTTGTGAAATTGTAACGCAAATATTAGTTTTTTGCGTCTGGGTCTTTTTTTTTGTGCCCAGTTTTTTATTCAAATTCTGCTCTTGATGTCATGCGACGAAATGGGATTACATTCGGCAACTCCTGCAGACCTCTGCGCCGCCCCTTTGTGTTTGAGAATGATCCATTGGTGAGGATATTGTTAAACTACTGTTTGCAATTGCCTCCAAGTGTAAGTGACCTGGTATTCAAACCAAAGGCGCGTCATGTCCCCGCGAGTCCCTGCTGCCACAGAGACGTTTGCCGCATGGCAGGCGAGTCGATAAAAAATACAAACAAATCCGAGTTAGAATTTGTCATGAATTACGTGAGAAACCAAAGCCACATATTTGTTCTAGATTTGAAGCTTTCGTGACTGCAAGGATTCATACTCTTAGTTTTTTCGGTAAAGTCACGTAGGTAAAAATGAAATATAAATTAATAAAAATAAAAAATCACGACGTTTCGGAGGCAACACAAGTCTCCGTCATCAGGTGGGACCGTCACAGCCAGATTTGCTGATACAACGTCGTAATTTTTATTTTTTTTATTTTTTATTAATTTAAATTTTATTTTTTACCAACGTGACTTTACCGAAATAACTACGAGTACATATTTGTTGTTGATGCAGTCATTGCCAGACCCTTGGATTTGCGACACTTGAACTTGAGGACCCAGTTTCATCACAGCTAACCAAAACCTGGATTTGAACCCAGGATCTAAGCAGGGCAGGGTCAGGGCTCCTGATGCTTGTAATGCAGTGGAACGACTTTAAAGAATTTTTGCAGCAAATTTCCACAGCCAGGAAAAGCCGATTGTGTCCTCGCTTCATGGTTATTGCATTCATGATCTCGGCTTGGAGAGGTCTTAATTCAGCAGTGAATTAAGCATGACTGTGAGATTGATGATCTGAAACTGCCTGCGTATATCGCATGTCAATGTTACTCAAAATCAGTCAACTGAAGTGCTTTAAGATATATCAGACACCAACACTTATATTCTAAATTTAGAAAATGTTGCACTTAAACTAGGGTCATTAATTTGTTTGCCAAATAAAATTGAAATAAGGGAGTTTAATGAATCAGATTTGTAATGTTTTTGTATGATTACTTTTTAAATTTGAGCGACTCAGGGAACATGCCCTAAAGACACATGCTCGGCATGCTTCTGTAAATAGTTAAACAGTTTATAATTGCAATTCTCATTTGATCCAAGTATTTGTAAATGTTATACGAGTTTAATTAAAGCCAATGGCATGACCCAATTTACCTAGACATTTTTCCTTGAAACTACCAAATTTGTCCGCTGCAGGGGTGATGCTTAATAAACAGAGGAGGATTCTCATCACAGTTGCTGCTCTGTCTAAAGATGTTTCAGTGATGAGAGCTATACACACATATATATATATAAATGCAGCCAAGTAATGAATTCATTTATGATAATTCCTACAAAGGAGATGGTGCGATGAAATCGCAGATGCTGGGTGAATCGTTACATCCAAGGATTGTGAGAGATGGCAACGGCTTGGGGAGATCTTCTTCCAGCAGTAGATCGACCATGATGATGATGATGATGGGGAAATATTGTGAAAGTAGAGATGAATTCACGTGGAGTGTGTTGTCACCATTCAGATTTGGCTCGAGACTCAAGATTTTTTAGTTTTTATTGTGGTGAATGCAGCGCCTCTGGTAGCTGCAAGGTTTTGCGTGGACCCAATTCATGGGGAGGAAGAGCAATTTGAAAATAATCGGTTCTTGCATTCACCGTTTGAATCATGTTTACGCAAGTGTAACGGTGCTTTAAAACAAACAGTTAATTGATGTGTTATCATACGCCTCGATGTTGAGGAATGTAAGTAAGCTCAACAGTCATACTTTATTTCTCCAAAGTTACTTTTCTGAAAACCAAGGCCTCCCCCTGGACGTAAAATGTATCTTGACTTACAGCTTTTGTGATTGCAGGGATTCATATTATTTGAGTCTTTCGGTAAAGCCACGTAGATATAACAAATAATAAAAATAATAACAATATCACGACGAATTGCGTTGTGGCCGAAACGTCGTGAGAATTATTTTATTATGTTTTATTTTTATTATTTTGTTATTTCCATTCTACGTGACTTTACCGAAAGAACTAAGAAGATGAATATCACGACGTTTCGATCGCAACACAAGCAATCGTCATCAGGTGAAAAATATAGCGGGAGAGCTGCTGAGAATATTTTCTCACGTCTTGATGTTACCGAACGACCCAAAGAATACGTAAAATGTATCCTCCATTAATATGTTTAAACCACGCCATTAAAATTGTAAGCAGGTTGATCCGCAACCATTAAGTTTCTAAAATGCATTTACTTTTCATCTGGAAAAGCGAAGCTTAACCGATTAATTTTAAGTTCTCTTTAAAACCATTGGACAGTCGGGCAGTTCCTCGTCCGACGAGGAAGGGAATTCTACAGGGCAGGAGCCTTGCAAGCAAAGCACCAAGATCCCAGAAGTTTACAGTCGGACCCCAGGGACCAGGCATGTTCATCGATTGCTCATCGGTGGATCGCAGCTTTCTCGGTCAGGGTACCGACCTTGAGGGGGCGTATGACATCCCAGTCCTGATGGTGACAACATTATCCGTGAAGGACTTGATAACTTCGTCACATCCATCTTGTTGTGACATTGCGTCCACCTGACCGGACACTGATTCGCTCGCACACTGAGCTGGTCCATCCTGCATAGCACTTCGCGATTGACAGTTATTGAGCGGCAATCATATATATCTATACACATCTTAGCCAATCGGCAGGTCGTGTAGTGGTGGAGTAGAGTGTGAGTGCTCCTACCTCTTTCAAAACATATGGCCACCAGGGAAGAGTAAGCAAAATACCCTCTTTGGAGGCTCATCTGCCAGCAGGAACGTCATTGCAGTGCTCCCGCTTTACCTTTAACTATACCCGCAACATAATGCACGCATTAATATGTTGCGTATGCATATACACGTGCACATTTGTACGTCAGCGAGAAACCAAATTGCTCCGGATATTAGTATGGCTTGTGTTAAAGTGTCAAGAGCCCATAGGGGATGAACAGCAGCTACTTCAGCAGGATTCCTAATGAGGTTGTGACCACTCTGTTTATTGTTTCCCACTTGGCTCGAAGCCAGGCCCACAGGAGCCCCATTGCCCCCCCCCACACACAAATTCACGTGGCACGCAAGGTCGTGAAACGGACGCCAGATTGCGCTGAGAGAGGAGTGTCTGTCATAGTGCAGTAGTAGGTGCATGTGTGTGTGTTGTGGGGAGCGTTGGTGTCGCGGTCTTGCACGCTGCGCTACGAACGCGGCGGCCCGAGTTCGATTCACACTCACGGCCAAAATCGGTGCAGGATATCTGAACTGGGCTTGGACCCTCCTCTAGGTCGACTCAGCCTCAAATTAGTACCTGGGGTGGTGTTTTAAACATTGGCACTCGGGAGACAAAGGTGGCTGGGCGTGGTGCTGGCCGCCCACCCCCTCGTGTGCTGTGCTGGCCTTCGTAGGTGCTCGCTAACAGCACTTGCCCCAACAGTCTGTTCCAGGCTATATAGGAAATCTTTGTCTTTGTATGTATGTTTGTTGAACTTCTTTCGCACCGTACGTCGCCAACCATGTTAATCAGAGGTGCGGGGGGGGGAAGGTCAACAAACTAAACACACACAAAAAAACAGTTCTCAAGAAATGAGTGTTCAATGTAGATTTAAAAGTGCACAGGCTCCAGTGGCTTCCTAATATCGGGAAGGAAGAGCGTTCCAGACGGCCGCAGAAGCTGCGTCCGAAAGCGCGCGGTTGCGGTGTGATCGTCTTTCTTCGATGGCGAGTAACATCGACCGCGAGCTTCTTTCGTCACGCCGTGCACGGATCTCTCTCTCTCTCTGCGTTTTGATCGGAGGCAATGAGTGGGCATGCACCCAGACTGAGCACTCATCTAGATCACTCACTCTTCTTCATAGTTTGGATGGTGTCGTTAACCTGTTTTCTAATCCACGCGCTGCTCTTTCTGTATCTCAGTTCAATTCCAAGCATGCATGTCTCCGCGCTTCTGTGCATATTTTCAGCGTTTATTCAACCACATGCGATTCATAACAGGATCCCAAACGTCGTGAGTTAATGGTCTAAGCCCAGTCATCAATGACTGCATATATATGTATCAAAAAGCAATTAAATTTGCTTTTTCACTTAATTTGACAAAATTCCAGCTCTCATAATTAAAATAATATCGGTTTGCCTGCCAAGTGACGGAATTCTTGTGTAGTAGGGTGGGTGGGAAAGTGTGCCAGAGGAGATCCTGAAGGGCACCATGGCCGTGAGATGTTAACCACCTCGCCTGGTGTACAGGAGGTCGTGGGTTCGATCCCGACCCTGATGCCTGCTGCTGTATATTTGGAGTTTGCATATTTTCCCTGTGGTCGCGTCGATTTTTCCCCAGGTCTTCCGGTTTTTCCCTCCACATTTAGAAACAAAACACTCGTTTAGAGTTTTTGGCTACCGCTTTAAATTTGCACGTGACGAGCCGCTTCGTTGCGCTATTGTTTGTGGCCGCGTTCGCTTTTGAAAAAGAGCCGTACAGTTCAGGTGGGGGCCTTACCTGGTCAAATGAACAACACATTTATAGTTAACAGTTAAATAGATCAACACGTAATCTATCCGGCCGACGAGGGCTACTGCTGCTGCACAGAGTAAACGTTCCGTTCGACGCGGGGCCACGCGGCGCTCTCGCCACCGCAGACGCTACGAGGATCGAGCCGATGGCGTCTCTGCGGGTGGAGAGGCTCAAGGACGCTCGGTTCGTGTGCAACGTCTCCTCCGACGAAAACCTCAGCCTCAACGTCTCCTGGGAGAAGGACGGTGCGGCGCCGATCATCAGCAGCAGGCAGGTTTCGTGCATTGCGTCGTTTCCAGCAGGTGGTTCTCAACCGAGAGGCGGGCTGGCGTGGTAAATCGAGAAATGTTCCCACTGGGGGCACGTGAGGCGATTTACAAATGCATGAAATTACGTTACGCGCGCGACGCATTGGTGACTAATCGCGTAAGAATCTGCCATCGTGAAATAACTGCGGTGACATTTTTAAGTCAGACGGTAGCCTAGAATGATGTAAAATGCCTTTTTCTAAACTCGTCGACCGTAAACAATGGCGGTCTTCAAGAGTTACCGGCGAGCGCAAGCGAACGACGTCGCGCGTGCAGAGCGCTCGTTGGGTTTGGTTTTATTTGCTTGCGGTTACCAGCTGGTCAAGGACACCTCACGAAATGAACAATTGGTTTATTATGCATGCAATCATTTCTCAGAACCATGTTGGGTCAGGCAAGGGTGCACTCGGTGGAAACACAATTCAAGAAGGGGTACAGTAGCCACAGCAAGCTTCTCTTTAGCTACTTGCTCTACGTATGTTGAGCTTCTTTCGCGGTGTACGTAGCCAACCGCGCTAACCGAAGGTGCGGGAGGGGGATGGCCAACAAACTAAACACAAAAAGCAAAAGCAATGAGTTTTCAATCCTGATTTAACAGTACATCGCTCCAGTGGTTATGTCATATTCTGCCATGGTGGTGCAACGGATAGTGTCACGGGAATTGCAATCTGGACGGTCGCTGGCCCAGTCTCCTGGCATGACAGTTTCAACAACGGGGGAACATTTATCGATATCCACCAACTTTTGTCCACCCAGCAGGATGCATGGGCCCATCGCGGTGTCGTGGGGATCTGGCCAACGTGGAAGAGGAGGCCAAGCACCCTAGTACAGAGTTAGCCTGATAACTTTAATCTAAATTGTCTTATGGTTGTTATTGTTTTGACTTGGATCCCACTGGCATTTTTGCACACAGCGTTGAAATGCGGTGTTTTTTCTGGAAGACTTTGCTGTTTTTTCCTGTTTGCGTATAGTCACTTTAAGATGTTTCTTGTTCATGTTTGTGTTTGTTGCGGTTGCCCCCGAGTCAAGAGCCACATGGCTCACAGGGTTACACCTAAATAATTGAAACCGAAAACTGAAACTGAAAATTTTAGGGTCTCTTTTAAGGTCCCTCTTTCGGAGGCTCCCCTGCCAACCCATTAGACGGGCACCCTTCGCCTCCCCGCTGACACGCACCGAGTCCCGTGCAGGGTGGCGGTGGACGGAGGCGTGCTCACCATCGAGGACGTCACCGAGGAGGACGGCGGCGTCTACACCTGCTTCGCCGAGACCTCGCTCGACCGACACTCCGCCTCGGCCAGCCTCACCGTGCTCGGTACGCACGCCGACGCTTGCACGCACGCACGCGGCAGAATCTGCCATCGCGAAATAACTGCGGTGACATTTTTAAGTCAGATGGTAGCCTAGAATGATGTAAAATGCCTTTTTCTAAACTCGTCAAGAGTTACTGGCGAGCGCAAGCAAATGACGTCGCGCGTGCAGAGCGCCCACTGGGTTTGGTTTGATTTGCTTGCGGTTACCAGCCGGTCAAGGACACCTCACGAAATTAACATTTGGGTAAAATATTGACGTTTATTATGCATGCAATTATTTCTCAGAATCATGTTGGCTCAGGCAAGGGTTCACTCGGTGGACACAAAATTCAAGAAGGGGTACAGTAGCCAAAGCAAGCTTCTCTTTAGCTACTTGCTCTACGTATGTTGAACTTCTTTCGCACCCTACGTAGCCAACCGTGATCATTGTGCTAGTGGCGAGGTGTTATCTGCCTCGCCTGGTATGCAGGAGGTCGTGGGCTCGATCCCAACCCTGACGCCTGCTGTATATTTGGAGTTTTCGTGTCTCTCTCTCTCTCCTCGTGGCCGCGTGGATTTTTCTCCATGTCCTTGCATCCCACTGGGACTTTTGCACAGCGTTGGTGTACGGTGCTTTTTTTCTGGAAAACTTTGCAGTTTTTTCCTGGATTTTTCTGTTTGCACAGTCACATAGTCACTTTAAGATGTTTTCTTGTTCATTTTTTTGTTTGTTGTGGTTGCACTCGATTCAAGAGCCGAATGGCTCACAGGGTTATACCAAATAAATGAAACTGAAACTGTGTGCGTCCACCACTGTAATTGGACTATGATCAGTCGAAACGTGTTATTGAACGCTGATCTAAGCAGTCATCTTTCCTCAAGAGTTTCTGCCCCTCCCTCAAAACTCACTTGTTTGGTTCCCTCTTAATCTTCTCATTCACATGGCTGTCACTCATCGACCCCGTTCATTCAATCCATCATCATTTGCCGTCATCAATTTCGCGCTTTCGCCGAATTAACACACCATTGCTCCCTCCCATACATTTCATTCACCTCATCTCTACCGTCGCATCCATGCGACGCGCTGTGAATTACACTGAAAAGCGCCTTGGTTAAGGCACTTTATAAACAACGTGAAGATAAGGTACGTACGTGGAACGTTTTCGATAACTCACGTGACGCCGTTGTTTTAGCTCCGGTTTATTCGCTTTGCTTTTGTTGATGACCCCCCACCCCCTCCCCCCCACAACTCCTCCACGTTCACTCGAGCAAACGGAGGCTGAATCCCCGGCGTAAACGACGACCGTCCTGTTGTTTTCTTGTTTGATTCGTTTCTTCTCTTCCTCGCGAGCAGACCGGCCGGCCGCCCCCGCGCAGCTCACCCTCTCTGACCTGAGCGATCGCAGCGTGGAGCTCCAGTGGGCTCCGGGCGACAGCCACAACAGCCCCGTCTCAGGTGCAGCAACTCTTGCCGCACGCTCTTGCCAGCGGTTACGAACGCCCTCCCCACTCCCCGCTCCCCCGAATGAAAATGTGGTCTCTCAGGATCTCGGAGGCGGTAACTTTGAACTCTGCGGCCCACCGGTCTTCCGCGACGGTTGCGGGCGCACCCCTGAAACGGCACCCACGGCACAAACAAGCCATGGCAGCAACGGCAGATGCGGATTTCTTTGATGGTGCACCAGATGGAAAAATGAGAAACTCCCTGGCAGTGTGCAACTGCGGTCACCAGCCAGAGCAGACCGTGGAACTTATATAACGAGTCCGATTCGCACGTATTTATTTATATATAAAGGAGGATGCATCGTCAACGCGATGCACTCCGCTGCTCCTGAGCGCAAATTATCTGGCTCGACCATCTCAATGTAAAATTACATCAACAACATCGGCCAGAAGACGAAGGAGCACAAGGTGACTCCCGTTTAGCAGTTATCTCTGAATGCACCTGATCTCATCAAGTACCCTCGTTTAACACTGTAGTAAGAGCCAATGGTTCGATACTGTCAGGGCATGTCTTGGAGGTCACGTGTCTCCAGTGGTAGAAAGCATTGGCAAAGTGTGGTGGCATAGGCGGCTTTGACCTTGATGACCTGTTGATCTTGTGTATGTGTGCGTGTAGAGAGCGGTAGTGTAGCGGTTAGCGCGCTGCGCTATGCTACGAACCCGGCGACCCGAGTTCGATTCCCGCTCACGGCCAACACCGGTGACGATTATCTGAACCGGTCCTGGATCAAATGAGCCTTAAATGAATCGAACCAGCCTTAAAAGAGCACCTTGCACGGTGTTTAAACATCAGCATTGCGGTGTGGCAAAGGCGGTCCGAGGACATTGCGCCGGCCACGCCAAACCCCAACGGGCACTGCGCCGGCCACGCCAAACCCCAACGGGCACTGCGCCGGCCACGCCAAACCCCAACGGGCACTGCGCCGGCCACGCCAAACCCCAATGGGCACTGCGCCGGCCACGCCAAACCCCAACGGGCACTGCGCCGGCCACGCCAAACCCCAACGGGCACTGCGCCGGCCACGCCAAACCCCAATGGGCACTGCGCCGGCCACGCCAAACCCCAACGGGCACTGCGCCGGCCACGCCAAACCCCAACGGGCACTGCGCCGGCCTTCATAGGCGGTGCCCGCAGCCAACAGCAGCATTCCTCTCAACACGCTGGCCGGTGGGGCATCGTTTTGTCCCGGCACGCAGGCGTGACGGTGCAATTCGAGGAGGACAAGCACCGCCCCGGCGAATGGCAGACGCTCGACAACTTCACGGGCGATGTGAGCTCGGCCAAGCTGCAGCTGCGTCCGTACGTGAACTACCGCTTCCGGCTGATCGCGCACAACGAGCTGGGACCGAGCAATGCCAGCGAGCCCTCGGAGCGATACTTCACGCCGCCGTCCAGTAGGTGTCCGCGACCATCAACAAAGACAAACACGGTCCCCCCCCCCCTAGCCTCGTGTAGCTTTAAGAGACTTTAAGGGGCAAGTGCCTGTTAGCAAGCAGCGCCTACGAAGGCCGGCACGGTGAAGCATCGCTAGCGCCAGGCAGCTTTGTCTGCAGCAGCAGTTTCAACGGCAACCACGCGTCAGTGCAGCCGGTTTCATCGTGTGCGCGTGTGTATGATGTTGAACTTCTTTCGCACCGTACGTTTCCAACCATGCTAATTGGAGGTGCGGGGGAAGGACAACAGACTACACGTGAAAAGCAGTTCGAAAGAAATTAGTTTTCAAATTAATTTGTGGCTTCCTAATATCGGAAGGAAGAGCGTTCCAGAACGCGCATCTGAAAGCGTGCGATGCAGTGATCGTCTTTGTTCGATGACTAGCCAAAACAAAACAAAAAACATCATTATCATTATCATCTGCAGCAGCAGCAGAATTATCAGCATTATCGTCATCGCCGTCATTTATTATGCGATATTACACTAGTATAAATCAAGTCTGTTTAACAAACACTAAAAACAGTGCCAACAATGTCCACATCAGCATACTCATCATCAGCATCATCATCAGCAGCAGCAGCCTTATCTGCAAAAGTAGCTTCAGCGGCATTAATAACATTGCCAGCATCGTCAGCGTTTCCAACAGCATTGTGATGATGATTATGATCGTCATTGGCAACAGGAGCATCTCAATTATTATTGTCTGCGCCGCGACCCACCTGGCGCGGATCATTCTTTTGTCGTGTCGTCCAAGCGCAGTAGCGAGGATGAATGCGCAGAAGAAACAAAACTTTGAAACTTTGATTAGTGCATCGTGTAGAGCGCGTCGATAGGAATAGATTGCCGTATCGTTCGCCTTCAACAGACATAAAATGACGTCGCAATGCAGTTTATGCGAGAGCCGGGGGCTTATGGGACCCCGGGGTCCCGCCATAAGGTTCATATGACGGCCGTACACGAAATACACATGAATTAAAATAAAATAAAAACTGCAAAAAAACAATATGACACCAAGAGTTGCCATTAAAAGAAGTTAGGTACGGGTGCCAGTACCAGTAAGCTCTGCATTTTAGCCTAACGTTGACATGAAGGACACGCGGATCGAAAAAGACAGCGCAAAACACGTGGGAGCAAGAGGCACCGGAGGAAAAAAGTTAGACACAGGCACAAATAAGCACTGTGTGTTTTGGTCTCACAGGGGAGTAGAGAGGGGGGTGAAGGGAGGGAGCCAAGCTGTAGATATTCCCTAAACGTGGAGCAGCTATGCGGAAAGGCCTTTTACCAATCCTGCACCGACCCGAAAATATTGCCTTCAACAGGCGCTAAAATAAGTTCCAAATGGTCGAACAATTACGCATCGAGGCCAATGAATACAATCGACTATAATTTGGAAAAAAAGTTTGGGTGAGCGTAATTTGTGTTGTGTGTGTGGTTTTTTTCAGCACCTGACATTGCGCCATTTGGCGTGAAAGCAGAAGGGACCGATCCAGACAAGATGATCATATCTTGGAAAGTAAGCGTGCGATTAATGCGCTGCACTATCAATGCAAACGCATGGACACACATGTAAACTGCTTCTCGCGTTTAGTTTGTTGTCCTTCTCCCGCACTTCCTATTAGCACGGTTGGCAAATGTTGGCTACGAGCGGTGTGAAATAAAACACACATGTACACGGTGTCGGATTGCGACTGTCCGTCCTGCTTCGGGGAAGTTTGGCCAATGCCATTTAATGAGAGTTCAGAAGCCAGTGGGAGGAAACTAAGCTACTCGGCTCAAACCCACACGCACGAATGGGTTAACACTCAAAGTTCCGTACAGATTAATTAAATTAACTCACTTGACTACCTCCTCCAGGCTACCTCGCAGTTCAGCAGCTTTGGGAAGTTTCACAAATTTTGCTCGATCCACCGAAACCTTACCTCCAAAGTGTTGGCTTACAGGCATGAGCTCCTGCGTTTGTTTAGCGAGTACCCATGGGATGGCCATAAGATCTCCTGGTGGGGTCGGAAACAAGCATCCAAAGCCGCCTTTCTCACCCCTATGAATGCTCATTTTGGATGGGAACCTGACTACACCGTCAAACCTGGTTACAGCAAACAAACATGAAATCTAGACAATCCACAAATATCGATTTAAAGCTTTCGTAACTGCAGGGATTCATCGTCTTGGTTCTTTCGGTAAAGTCACAGTAGAATGGAAATAATAAAATAATAAAAATTAAACATAATAAAATAATTCTCACGACATTTCGGCCACAGTCTGACAGACTCTGTCTCCTCGACAGACCTGTTCTCCACCTGAGGACGGCTACTTGCGTTGTGGCCGAAATGTCGTGAGAATTATTTTATTATGTTTTATTTGTATTATTTTATTATTTCCATTCTACGTGACTTTACCGAAAGAACCAAGAAGATGAATCCACAAATAGCTGTACTTGGTCAAATCCCGAACGTCAAAGTCACGCATCAGCGCGGTGCAGCTACGACAATAAAATGCGGGTGCATTCGAAATGACAAACGTCATTTGTTGCTTGTATAGTTATTTCTCCAACTTACACAATAAAATCACTTGCCTGGGAATCGAACCCAGGTCCTTCTCGCTGTGAGGCTCGAGTGTTACCACTGCCACCCTAAATCTCTCGCGTGTCTCACACATTTCACAGCCACTGGATGCCCTGGATTCCAATGGCCCGGACCTGCAGTACAAAGTGAGCTTGCGACAGAAGGGATCTGGCGATGACTGGCGGGAGGAGCTGGTGGGTGGGAACGAGTCTCACTACGTGCTGGCCGGCACGCCGCCCTTCACACCCTACGAGGTCAAAGTGCAGGCCGTCAACAACCAGGGCAAGGGGCCCGAACCGCTGGTCATCGTCGGCTTCTCCGGAGAGGCCGGTAAAAGAGGAAGGCCTGCAGCTCCTATTGGCCGTTGCGTGATCGGGGACAGGACGTTGTGATATGTGTATGTACTGTATGTATGTTGAACCCACAGGCAATGCAAGTCCTCCACATGTGAATGTGGTGCTGTTCAACGTATGTTGAACTTGTTTCGTATCGTGCGTAGCCAACCGTGCTAATTAGAGGTGCGGGGGAAGGACAACAAACTAAACACAAAAATCAGTTCAAAATAAATTCGTTTTCAATCTAGTTGATTTAAAAGTGCATAGCTCCAGTGGCTTCCTAATATCGGAAGAAAAAGCATTCCAGACGGCCCCGGAAGTGCATCTGAAAGTGATGGGTGGGGCATGTGTACAGCATGCAGGAGAACCTGGTTACCAGGCCTCCTACATCCAGTAGGAGAACAACACAGGGTTCCGCATTGGGATGTGCGCAACATTTGCATGTCTTAAATTTCGATTTAAAGCTTTCGTGACTGCAGGGATTCATCTTCTTGCTTCTTTTGGTAAAGTCATGTAGAAGGGAAAAAATAATATTATATTATTTTATATTATTATTTTATTTTATTATTATATTATTTTATTTTATTATGTTTTATTTTTATTATTTTATTTTTTCCCTTCTACGTGACTTTACCGAAAGAACCAAGAAGATTTGCATGTCTTGTTGGGCTTCATTTGAGAGGAACCTGGAGTATTCAGGGACGACATTCAATTGGAAAATAGCTTTAAGGAATCCATTGCCGTGACAAATCAGCTACGTAGGTTTGTGTTTCTCCACGCACATGTATGCAATTACCTAGATCATTAATTTGAACAGGAGGTGGTGGCTACCAGATAGGTTCAGATACTGGGTTCGTACTGGACACTGGGTCACTGGGTTCGTTGTGCAGTGCGCTAACCACAGTGCCACCACCGCACCACCTCCTGTTTAAATGTAGCCTTTAGGTAATTGCATAAATGTATGTAGAGACACACAAACCTACGTAAGTGACTGCCACTGATTCCAAATAAATGATGGATGTTGAAGGCCCACTTAACGTTCCCTGATGCATTCATACACAGAACTGAAAAAAGCCTCACAACCGATATTAATATTCAAGCACAGCTATTTCTGCTGCTCCTGCTGGTTTTAATCGTCGATGTTGTACAATCACACAAAGCGCAGCTGCTGTTGAAAACCCCCGTGTAACTCCTAGTTATTTCAATTATCCGTCTTTCCCCCTCAATATTTAAACGAATTGTCACGATTCAATAAAACAATTGGTGTGTTTAGCTTTCTAGCGAACGTATTGCCTCGCCGGCAGAGGTCACACGAACGCCTTCGCATGACGACGTGTACACACAATCAACATGACCGACATCTCCCCGACGTGGTTCCGGGGTGTACCGCGTGCGTCGTTTGGCGCGATGTCTGACGTTTTGCTCCTCGCGCCCCCCAGGGAGCTTTTTCGGCAGCGGATGCATTGCACACACCCTTCGACGCGTGCGCCGCGAGTACACGCGAGAGCCGAATCGGAATCGGGTCGTTTATTTACACACTGGAGGGAATCCCATGAGCTGCGAAGTTATTTCTCGGCCCGACCCGCGAGCGGTGAATCAGACGCGCATTGCCACACATCCCAATCGCTGTGTTCCCATTGCCTTATTGCTGCAGTTCCACGCACAGCACCGAAGAACGTGATGTACAAGGTGGTGAACAGCACCGTGATCAGGGTCTCGTGGGAGCCACTCCGTCAAGAAGATGTGCTCGGTCGGCTTCAAGGTTATAAGGTAACACCGTGCCCCCCCCCCATATCTCTCTCACTCTCTCTAGCTCCCCCTCTTCCCCTCTCTCTCTCTCTCTACCTCTCGCTCTCAGAAAATGCTCACAGGGGACACAAATTCGCACAGTGTCCCGTAGACTCACACAGAGATGAGTAGACTTGCAGAGACCTGCATAAAGTCACACGGAGATGCATCGACTCCATCGAAGACACAGACTCAAAGAGACTGGCGTAGACTTACAGAGGCCCAGACTCACACAGAGACCCACAGACTCACATGGAAACCCATAGACTCGCACAGAGAGTATAGATTCACACAGAGAACCATAGACTCACACATTGAGCCATAGACTCGCAGTAGACACGATGTGGTACACTGTTGTGGTAGAATGCAGCCATATTTTGCGTGAATTCGCACACATTTGATTCGCATGAGTGGCCTTTTTTCATGACTAATTGGTTTACGACTAACTTATTATGTTCCTCTAAATAGTGCTCCACATGACCATAGGTGCGTAAGGCACTATCTCCATGAGTGAGCTTCTCCAGAAGGGGAGGTTGAGTTGAAACCAAACTGCTTCTGTTTGACCAGATAGTGGGGACTACAATGGGAATGGCTAGAGAAGCGATGGGGTGATGTGGTACAAGAGGATGTGAAGCTGAGTGGACTTTCTGACGACTGGTAACAGCCGTTCAAGATCAGCCTCTGTGGAGGAAGCTCATGAAAGATGCTACTGGGCAGTTGGAGGCAGTCGCCCTTCAGCAACAACGGAGGGCAGAGGAGCGATGCTAAAGTGCAGCAAGTGGGCACAGTGGGGAGCACAGGTGGTGCATCTGCCAGTCATCTCAGTCAATCAACCCATAGCACCTGGGTCTGTCTCGTGACCTTCTGCCAGCAGAGATCCTTCGACACATCACATAACCTCTAAGCATTCCTAGCCTGGCACAAGTGCCGCAATGATGTCACCGCCACTTAGCGGTCGTTGCTGTTGTTGTTGTTGTCGTAGTAAAGGCAGCGTGTGCGTTGCTGCAACAGATTTACTACTCGAAGGTGAGGGGGCTGCAGGAGAGGAGGCGACGTCACACGGGCAAGAAGGTGCTGGAATTTCACGGCGCCAGGAACTTCACAATGCTGCCCGGCCTTGAGCCGTTCAGCGCCTACAGCGTGGAGGTGGCGGCGTTCAACAGCAAGGGAGAGGGGCCCGCAAGTCACCCCATCATCGCCAACACTCCAGAGGGAGGTGGGAAGAAATATGTATATACAAAGACAAAGACCCCCCATATAGCCTTAACAGACTGTAGGGGCAAGTGCTGTTAGCGAGCACCTATGAAGGCCGCAACGGTACACGAAGGGGTGGGTGGCCAGCACCACGCCCGACCGCCTTTGTCTCCCTAGTGGTGATGTTTACACACCGCACCAGGTACTCATTTGAGGCTGAGTCGACCTAGGGGAGGCCCATGGTCGGTTACGATAATCGTCACTGGTGTTGGCCGTGAGCGGGAATCGAACTCGGGTGCCAGGTTCATAGCGCAGTGTGCTAATCGCTACACTATCGCTCCCCACATACACACACACACACAGGGTGCTTCAAAAAAAATGTAAACACTTCATGGGACTGTCGTTTTTAATAGAAAAAGAACGGATGCTACACTGTGACATGACAACAAATGTATGTCGTCAATAGCTTCAAAAAGTCATAGAGTCTCCACTTGTTCACCATCATTGTCAACACGTGCCCTGAATCTTCTCCAGGTGGTCTCCAGAGCCCGGAGGGGCACATTTCTTGTGGTGTTGTTGCAAATTCTCATAAGTGTTAATATTTTTTTAAGCACCCTGTATATTAAATGTGTTTTATTGTATTTCAACAAGAGCCCCATATGGAGCACTAAACTTCTACTCACGAGGAGGGGCACAGAAACTCGGCGAACAGAATCCCCAAACGCAGTGCATCCAAAAAAACATCCAAAATCTATCATCTTTCACAATCAACAGAAAGGAGGGTAGGGGGAGCAATTGGGCTCACTATCCCACCAAAATAAATACATTAAAAAAGGATAAATGCCACCTATTATCAGTCGATCAATACGGATAATGAGTTGAATGCGTAGCACACTTGTTTAATTGCCTAAGCAACTCACAGTGCCTTACATCCAGAGGCGGAGTTTCACTTCTATATTTCGGGGGAGCAGGGGTTTTCTTTTCCCTAACATTAATTTTTTCTATTTGTAATCTTCATTGTAAACTACTAAAAATAAATTAATTAATGTGTCCAGTCTGGGGGGAGCATGCCCCCCCCTTCCCCCCCAAAAAAAACTCCGCCCGTGCTTACATCACATCTCGACAGTTCCAATATCCCTTGCGAAGGGGATTTCCAGTGGCAACTGTCGGAAATCAAGGTGGACGCAGTACCAGCCTGCGTACACATTCACACCACATCACCGAGACGATCCATGGGAGGGGGAGGGTTGACCATACTTCACCTCTAGAACTGGGTATTCCTCATAGCGCAGCTTGAGAAATCACGATGGGCGCTCGTATTTTGCACGAGTTCAAGCACTCCGCAAAGTGGATTACGAACGCAGCACCATCCGATTAGGGCAGCTGGCTACGTACGCTGCGAAAGAAGTTAAACATGTACATACGCGCGTGCAGCAGGGGCATTTGAAACAATTGCTCTCAAGGTGTTGGGGGAAACGCTTGGGACTGTCTAAAAAAATTATTGATGCGACGTGTATGGCCAATGCCACGTGGGGTTTGGAGAGACGAAAAGCGTACGTACAAATTGTGGGGGCTCGTCCGAGCTAAGGATTACCCAGTCTCGTTTTTTTGTAATTAATTGAAAGATATGCAAAGGTACATGGCTGGCCTGATGAAGAATGGTCCATCAATTTGAGCGCTTTGCTGAAAGGAAAAAAGCACCCTCTGTGTGTACTACAGAATGAGTGGAACAGAGGCAGGTGACTATCGGTGAGTCAGGAGAGGCCTGGTCCAGTGCTTCAAACTTAACGAAGAGGGTTATAAACAGACATTCAGAACAGTTAGACCTGGCAATGTGCATCATTATTGTATTCACAGTTCATTGTGCGTGTGTGTATAGTTGTACTAAACTAGCTGGAATTGCTGTCCAATTAATATTATTAAATATTAGATTTTTATATTTGATGATAGACGAACTGTGTTTTGCTGTTATAAAGGTAGTGTTAAAGATGACTTTGAAGTTTTCGTTTAGGCTCAGTCCTTGTGCGATAGAGACAACTTGGCAGTATTTCATGGTTGTAGAAATTTAATTGTCACACTGGAGGCAGTTGAATTCGTGAATGAAAACATAACAATGCCTCTTTCTTTATACGGGACATATCAACCACATACCTGCTTTGAATTGCGTTTTACTATAGCTGCAGGACCTGTACTAATCACGTGCACTGCTGTGTGACTTTTTCTTAATCTTTTTTTCCGTCCGTGTGTGCACGTATGTATATATGTGTGGTTTATTTTATTTACAGTTCCTGGAAAAGTTGTTGGCCTACAAGTTACTCAGACCACTTTGAATTCCGTGACACTGGAGTGGAAGCCGCCAGCAGAACGCAACGGTATCCTTACCGGATATACCCTGACGTACGAATACAGTAAGTCTACCAAAGAAATCATCAAATAAACACACAAACAAATGTCTCTGTTTTTTTGTTTCATTGGGTACAATTGTAAACAGCCATATCAGACATTAGTGACGTCTGATCGGCATCATCATTGGGTTCACTGCAGCGCAAAGGCTTGGTCGTACAAGGCGTGTGGTGCATTGTTTCTCGTTGCGACTGAGGGTGGGGTTCAAGGGTTGCTGGCCCTTGACCCCAGACACACTTGAGTAGTGTGGTGGAGGCGTAACACTATACATGACCTGATTTGAAAGCATCCGAAGACTCCATAACAGACTGTGCTCGGGCAAAAGCCACTCGGTCAAGGGTGGGGGTGACAAGCGTTTAGACCAGCGGTTTTTCACCTTCACTGCAGCCTTGCACCCCTTTGGTTCTCAATCGTTACAAAAATTTACAATATTAATAAATACAGGTAGTCCCCGACTTACGATGGTCCAACTTACGATATTTGGATCTTACGATGGCGATAGCGATATGACAAAATTGTAAAATATTTTACATTTCGCGCGGCAGGCAAACGCAGCAGCGTACGAGGTACGATACTGTACGTTGGGACGCTGCCGGGATGTATTGTACGCATATTGTTTATACAATACGGTACTGTAAATTGCTATGTTTTGCTAACTTATCACCATTCTTTAGGACTCCTGGGTAGGCTAGGCCATTTTCGACTTACGATATTTTCGACTTACGATGGGGTCGTTGTAACGCATCTCCATCGTAAGTCGGGGACTACCTGTACATAGGGGTTTGATGAAACAAAGTGGTTGTACTTACGTGCGCGTGCTTAGTTTGCGTTTCGATTATTTACCTTCTAAAAAAATCTGGCCGTGCCTCGCACCCCCAGGAAGGGCATCTCACACCCCCAGGGGGTGCAGCGTGCACCCTAAGTTAACCTAGGGGAGGGCTAGCATAGGTTCAGATACCATCATACACAAAAATGAAAGGTTGAAGATATATCCCAGGGCACACAAATCAGGGGACAAAGATCCCTTCTGTAGCCTTAAAAAACGGTGGGGCAAGTGCTGTTAGCGAGCGCCTCTGAAGAGCAAACTGGCAAATGAGTGGATGGTGTGGCTATCACAATGCCCGACCGAGTTTGTTTCCCCGGTGCTAATGTTTACACACAGTGCCGGTGACTCGTTTAAGGCTGGGTTAACCTATGTGAGGCCCAGGACCAGCTAACACATGTTCTACTGATACTAATGTTGGCCGTCTCATACATATACGTACACACGCACACACAAGACAGTGATGCCCACCATGGGTGGAAAAAACCCGATTTTTCCAGCGGCAGGCATCGGGTTTTTACTTTAATACAATTAAACCTGATTTCGGGGAATTAAAACCTGGTTTAATGAATACGAAACTCTGATCCAAGGCTTAGGCTGCTTCCTCGTCGGTGCTGCTATCGTACTCGGGGCCGTCGGGCACGGGGTAGTCGTAGAATGCGGCGGGCAGGTTCGTCTTGATGAACACGAGCTTCTCCTCCACAATCGTGGGCGCCAGTGAGTTCCTTCGCTTGGAATGGATGAAGCCCGTCGTTGAGAAGTTGGCGAAGTGCGGTTCTGCAATTAGAACCAATTAAACCGGATTTCTCACAATCTCAGATGATCGGGTTTAATATAAAAAGACGATTAAGCCCGATTGTAAAAAAACCCGACTGTGCCACCCTTGATGCCCACACTTGGTCTGCGATGGCTAGTTGAGAGGAAGCGCCGTTAGTGAGCTCCTATTGAGGTCGACGTAGAAAGTAGGACAATGCCATGGCCAGTGCCATGTCCATCGCATGCACAAGGCACGCTCTTTTATTTCGCCTTAACCCTCCATGGGAATTTGTTTGGTGAGGAGGTGATTTCGCAGTGTCCTTGTCTCCTTTCATTTGGATAGCAATCACTGGCTGTGATGGGCTAAAGGCTGTCTCCCATTCATAGTCAGAATTTGAAAAGCAGTCACGAATGCCCATCCTTTCATGAAAGCTGGTCTCTGTGTCCAATGGTGCATTCTTGGCCTCATTAAAGCCTGGAAAAAAAAAACGATTAACCCAGCAATTTTAGTTTTACGTCACCACTGTAACACTAAAAAGCAGCAGCAGAAGCAGCGAGCGAACCAAGCTACTGCATGAGTTCTTATGAAAAATTAAGCACATGTGCTTCATGCAGTGAAACACTGCGTCTTGTGCGTGCACTTTACATATATATTTATAACTTAAATCACAGCCTATGTGTAAATAGTCATTTGTAGTGATGGCCTGTTGCCTATGCACGGATGAAACTCGGAAGTGTGGAGGCGGACTTGATGGATCACACAAATTCGTGAAACCTACACTCCAAAGGGAGGTGGGAAGAAATATGTATCTACAAAGACAAAGACCCCCCATATAGCCTTAACAGACTGTAGGGGCAAGTACTGTTAGCGAGCACCTATGAAGGCCACAACCGTACACGAGGGGGTGGGTGGCCAGCACCACACCCGACCGCCTTTGTCTCCCTAGTGGTGATGTTTAAACACCGCACCAGGTACTCATTTGAGGCTGAGTCGACCTAGGGGAGGCCCAGGGCCGGTTCCGATAATCGTTGCCATCTCTTGGCTCATGGCCAGACTATAATAGCATTACAGCAAGTGGATAAAGTTCCATCTGTATGGGGAGTGCAGTTCCCCCCCCCCCCCACTTGCCCCATCCCTTTGCACAAGTGGGCTTTATCTGGGTGCTTCAGTTTCATCCCCCCCCCCGCCTAGTTTATAAACACTCATTAATGGAGTTGGCAAAACATCCCAATATAGGACCGCAGAGCTTGGGAAATCGTCGGTGCCTGTTCTGGCTGCTTTCCCTCGTGCCCTCTTGCGTGCGAGGGTCTGCGCAGGTTACACATCCCATGACGGCAGCGTTTTAAGATCGCATTCGCCTAAAAGACGCCACCTCGAGTTCCCTTTAGTTGTTATGTAGCCTATTACCATCTACATGGCAGAGGCTCGGTCTCATTTACAGCATTTGTTATGTAGGCTATGCGTAGTCACAAACCGTACCTCTCCATAACAAAGGCTCAGTCATTTGTTATGCAGTCTATTCTTAGTCTTAAGCCGCACCTTACCATATTAATTAAAAGTGTGCCGTCCCTGGTCCTTCCCCTCTCCAACCATTATATATACGGAGTGGTATCTCTAGTAATCTCTCATTTACTTGATACAGCTGTCGGGCTGTGACGGTTCCACCTGAAGACGGAAGCTTGTGTTGCCTCCGAAACGTCGTGATTTTTTATTTTAATTTTACTTTTATTGATTTGAATACATTTTTTACCTACGTGACTTTACCGAAAAAAACCTAAAAATATGAATCCGTGCAGTCACGAAAGCTTCAAATCTAGAATGAGGTTCTTCCGTCAGCAGTGGCGTAAGCAGGAGATTGCACGGCTGCCCCTTTACACTCGCCCGCTGTTGTTTTATAACGTCGACGTGGTTAGCCTGTGGAAGTACGCGAATCCCTTTAAAAACTATTATCACAATGTGCGTTGCGGCAAACGCAATCGCAAACCGGGAGGTGTTTGTGTGCGGTCATTGGTATGCCCCGCATTTTGGATGTGGAAGTGCTAAACATAGCCACTAGAAGCAGCCGCGCCACTGTTTCATTATCCTTGACAGGCTGGCATCTCCAAACACAACTGTCAATGGGCCACTAATAAACTCCAAACAAAACAATGGGTTGTTTGTTTAACAACGTGGAAAGAGCCTAAGCTTACTGAGCTGAGCAAACTTAAATGCGTTAAACATTGAACGTGGACTCAGTGCTAGGGATGTGAAATGTACTGCAGACAGGCAAGTTGTGGGCACACGCGAGCCGTGCAAACATCGCACGGAGATAACCAGCCCCCACAAACAAACACCCTTAATTGTCTCATTAATTTTCATTATAAATTCGCCGTGGAGTAAACGTCCGTCCACGTAACCGCAAAATGTATTCCAGCTGGTTTTTTTTCAGTAAATCGTTATGGAACGGTGGGCAGGGGGCGCTTGCCTGCAACAAAACGTCCCGATGCGGTGCACGCACTCGCGGAAGAAAGACAAAAAAAATTAACCCGTAAAAACAAAGTTTTTCACTATAAATCCTTTATATGCGTGGCGGCTAGAGTCCTCTCGTCCTCTGGCTTGAGATGGCTGCCACCTATGGGTCAGATGATTGCCTGCCACCATTAAGCAATTGGTAATTACATGCAACCAGAACCAGGATGAAGACTTGCACGCACATACATATAAACAGACCCCCCCCACACACACAGTCATACCATTATTTTTGTTCCTAAAAAGTGTAAAATGTTGGAAAAAAATTTTCACAAAAATAAATTGTCACGCACAACGAGTCTGTGTGGAAAATGTCAGCTCGATTGGATCACGGGAAGTGGGTTAAAAAACGACCGAAAGATTTGCAAGGTCGTAAGCAAGCAAGCAAGCAAGTGCACTTAATATAAAGGATTTTAAAAAAGCGTCCTTTGTGTGTTTTCAAATTTGCATTCGGCCAATGCGGTGGCAGTTTCACCCCCCAGTTCACTTTTCTCTGCACCGTAATTAAAGCAGATGCCCCCCACCCCCCCAAAAAAAAAAACGAACTCGCACCGAATCCCGACGGTTCGCTGGCAGAGTGAGCATCTTGCGATCGGAAGGCCTGCGAGTTCAAATCCTGCCTGGGGGTTGACTCGGCCCATCATACCTCTGGGGTCGATAAAATGAAGGCGTCCCTCTTTATGTGGGAAAGTCAACAGTCTTTGTCCTATGGGTACACTTGCTCCGCTAGAGGAATGTGGAATTCCATATTCCTCTGCCGTTGGCACGTGGTCCTTAACCCTCGAGATATCAGTTTATACTCATCGTAATATAGCTCATGCCTTAGTAGTTGCATAGCTGCAGGAATAATCCAAAATATTTATTTTCCATGTCTGTGCACCCCCCCCCCCTCCCCGTATTCCTCTGCCTCTCCCTCCACCCCCCATTATCCACGTTGTGCGTGTGTGCAGTTAACAGCACCACACAGGAGCTGGGTCCAAGTAAAACGGAAAACATCCCGGCGAACGTGACCTCAGTGGCAGGTGACCGAGCTGGAGCCCCAGAGCATGTACAAGTTCCACGTGGGCGCTCAGACCAACGCCGGGTCTGGGATCGTGATCACGGAAGAGGCCCACACCGTTATGGATGTCGGTAAATATTCGCCCTTGCTCACTTGTCCCGTGGGCGAACCGCTGGCGTAGAATTGTCGTTCGCGCTCGTTTTCGTTTTTAGCGAGTTGCTTTGGTAAAATAATAATGAGGCCCCGGTTAAATTTCGATTGAAAGCTTTCGTGACTGCAGGGATTCATCTTCTTGGTTCTTTCGGTAAATTCACGTAGAAGGGAAGTAATAAAATAATAAAAATAATATTTTATTATGTTTTATTTTTATTAAACAATGAAAATAAAATTTTATTATGTTTTATTTTTATTATTTTATTACTTCCCTTTTACGCGACTTTACCGAAAGAACCAAGATGATGAGGCCCCGGTTCAGGAAAAAAAGGTCAAATGTGATTTTTCCACCTCAAATTAGCACAGGGGGGCATTGTTCATCTCCCGTTTACAGACCTGGTGCCCTTGGTGAAAAATCTACGTTCGTATGGCGTGTGCCAGTCTAACCATTAGACAACCACAGTTGAGTACTCACTTGGAACTCGTTTTAACGACTTGGGGAGGGATGATGGGCTGTGTCAACCGCCAAACAGAATTTGAACTCCCATCATTTCGATTTGCCACTGCCCAGCCATGCTGATAATTCATCTTGTCAACCTATTTATTCCATTGTATGATCCTATAGTTACTATGCAGTGATTATGTTGCTAATTGTGTGGGGAATTGATAAAGGGATATGTTTTGCAATGCATTTCCTCGTGCAACGCTGGCTATATTTGAGCTAAAGCACAAACCACAGTTAATTGTACTTTGCGTGATCAGACTGAACATTTTTAGAAATCTTAAAAATTTTGGGAAGCAGTTTCCTTAATGCTGTGCGTACATAAATTTACACGGCAACTTGAAAGTGCAAATGCATTGCGGTGTGTTTGCCAGTGGGTCGCGTCGGGCTTGTGATTGTGTGTGTGTGTGTTGCCCTGTGCTTTGTCCTGATCAAGCAAGCATATGTCCCTCTGTTCCTCCTGTCCTTGACAATCAGGTGATTTTAACCGTGCTGTTCAGACAGGAATGGCAGGTAACGCTACACGAAGGAGGTCACACTTCTCGAGAGGCATGGCTTCGGAATGCTTGCGGCTGCTTTCCATTGCTTTTGAGATTGTGGATTATCATACTGCCCGAACCTTCCGGGACAAATTTAGGCTCCCCGGGGTCCCTTGAGAGAGACGGTGCACTTCGCGCTCTCGGACTGTGACAGCGGCGTTATTGAAACGGCTGGCGGGCGTACTTGACTGCTATTTGTGGCCGTGTATGGTTGTATATATATATTTATGTTGTTGTTGTTCCTGTCACGTAAAAACAAGGCTGGAGCAAGTGGCGCAGCGGTGAGAACACTGCGCTGTGCCAGTAGCAGGAGTAGCCAACCGTGATCATACTCACCCTCCGATTAGCACGGTTGGCCTACGTACGGTGCTAAAATATGTTCAACATACATTACGTACGGTAGTTGCGGTATCTTTTGCTTAACCAGCAGATGGAAATGCAGGCCCATTGAGGCGTGTGATGCATTGCCTCTTTTGCAATGGTGTTACCATTGTTACATTCAATCAGTTATGAATACAAACAAATATGAATCAGGTGAGATGAGTTTGCTTGCTAGGACCGTGGCTAAAATTAGTAGAGTGATATTTCGGTAAGCGGGGTTCTCTCCTGCATCAAACAAGAGAGACCAGCGTGGTGAAGTATGGTCAACACCCCCCCTTCCCCCACTACCGTGTTCTTCATCCAGCAGTGGATTGACAAAGGGCTGCTAATTATTATTTATATAAGCTGACTGTAAATTGACCCACGGAATCTGAGACTGTTTTATCACACTCAAATACTATCCATATATTAATATACACCGCGCTATTCTGAAACTAGGAAGCCTTGTGCCACGCGTGGGAATTCGTTTTTTTTCCTTAACAGTAACTACGTGTCCGTTAATGTCAACAATTCGTGGGCGTTTGGCAATGAATTGGAGTCACTTGAGTTACATTTTGGAAACGTTCACAGCTAAATAAAAGGTCCGATTCCTATGCGGGTGTGTTATGTAGTGAAAGGTTAATTCCATGATTTAAAAAAGAAAAATGTGTTCATTATACACATCGTATGCACACGCACTGTATGTATTACACCTCATGAAGCTGAGGTTCAATGGTTGTAACTGTTCTGTACGTAAATGATTGCGCTCTTCAAAATAGTCGATCTTTGCTCAGGTGTAAGGTCGCTCATTTTCCTGAGCTGCACCCCAGATTTAACTCCCCCCCCCCCCCAGCCATCCGTGCTCTGGACTAAGTCTCAACACCTTCCTCTTCTCCTCCGTCAACGACTGACTTCTTGTCTCTCCGTTGAACCCCCGTACTGGTTGAAGGCCTCCCCACCAAGCCTGTGCCTCACTTATGCGACGCAACAACGCCAAGTCCAGAAATCCGCACAAGAGCTGATTCCCCAGGCTGTCTGCATGAATGCGTACACTGTGCGTACAGATATATACCCACGCTGTTTAATATAGCACCTCCGAGATGCGGTCACATTTAAACGCCTTATAAATCTCAATTGCATTGTATTGTGAATGTAATTGTTGCACAGCAATGCATATTGAACAATCCAACATGGTTGCCTTTATTTTAGAGTAAACCTGCACCATTACTGAGACATTACAATCATTGATGGCACAGTCTTAAATCATTAATACAGCACAGGCTCGATGAGGAGATCACCTGAATTCAACAGAGGTTATCCTAGGAAATTCTTAAATAGTAACTAGTTTTTCGATTTAAAGCCTTCGTGACTGCAGGGATTCATCATCTTGGTTCTTTCGGTAAAGTCACGTAGAAGGGAAGTAATAAAATAATAAAAATAAAACATAATAAAATCATTCTCACGACGTTTCGGCCACAACGCAAGCAGCTGTCATAGCTGCTTGCGTTATTTTTATTATTTTATTACTTCCCTTCTATGTGACTTTACCGAAAGAACCAAGAAGATAGTAACTAGTTAGTAACTAGTTGGCACTTTTTGTTCACGTGACAGACCTTACTAATTGGTGGGCTAACGACACACGTATATTCACGCGATCTAACCGAAAGAAAAAAAACCTATTGTGAGTTTAACACGCAGGCTTTCGCGACCAATATCATCCATAATGTAGGATTTTTTGGGGGAGGGGGTGTTAGATCGAGTTAATATAAATGTGCCGTTAAACCCGCTACCACCCGACACAGCCAATTAGTAAGGTTTGTCCTGTAAACAGAACGTGCCAATTCGTTACTAGTACAGCAACACCGGTGTGTTGGATTGTAAATGTTGTAAATGTTGTGGATTTGCTCTCCAACACACCGGTGTGCTGTACTAGTAACGAACTGGCACGTTCTGTTTACGCGACAAACCTCACCAATTGGCTGTGTTGGGTGGTGGCAGGTTTAACGACGCTAATATATTTACGCGATCTAACCCAAATAACTTATATTACAGGGCCCTTGTTCTACATTATTAATTTTTATCGTGAATAATTTTGGTCGCGAAAGCCTACGGCGTGTTAAATCGCCTCCTCCTCGTCCTCCGCGAAGCGCTTTTGACCCGACGTGCATTTGAATCCTCCAGCGTGGTTTGCGTGATGCGACTGTCGGGCCTGCAACAAACCCGTCGATCGTTCCCTCCAAAGGGACGCGCATTCTTCACGCTCGCCGGGGCCGGATTCACGGCCGTGTCGCCCCTTTCTCGTAATGAATGTCTTTCTTCACGATCGAAAGGCGCAGCGAGCAAACAAGTTGGTGTGCGCGTTGTGCGGCAATGGGTGATCGCTTCAATCCCAGACCTTGGATAGAAACTGCAATGTTGAAGTACTTTGTTGTGGTCAAATCTGACAAATCCATCGCGGCGAAACCGCTAAAAAGCTGTGGTTCTCAATCCTCATGTTTGCCCCCTCTCCCTCCTCCACAATCAAGGGCTGCATGCGCCCTCCTCCTCCATCACCGAGATTACGAAGGCATTTGTTTTGCTTTCTGTATTTGTGTGTATTTTGTTGTGTTAACAAGGCACTTGTTTACACGTTGCGTGTATCTGCGCATTGTGTATTGTCAAGGCATTTATACAAATTTGTGTATTAGCGTGTTTCGTGTTACTAAGGCACGTGTTTCACATTGTGTATAGGTGTGTTTTTGTGCTAGTAAAGCATGCGTTTAACGTTATGCATCAGTGCGTTTTGTAGCCACATTGAGGTGCTGACGTTCCCTCGCACATTCAACATTTTCCTCCTGCACGGTATCCATGCCGCAGCCTGTGTCCCCCTCTGAAAGGCTGAGAACCACTGTGCGAATGCGATGTAAAGCAGAACGATATTGTTTTCCCCTTGTAAACTGACGCACGCTACCTTGTATATTTTCGAGGCATCTGATTACAGATCAATTGATCCGTATAATTTCCTACGCTCACTATATTTGCGTTGCGTTGTGCATGCATAAATGCATCGTGTGCGATTCATGCAAAGTATATGCAGATGATGTGTTGATTTAACGCGTTTGTAAAATTGCACGAACAAAGCAGTACAAACGTGGTTGATTAAATGAGAAACAATATAACTGTGACGTAAATAATTAAAGACGTAATATTATTTATAAAATATAACTTTCCTGGCAATGGGTCGTTCATCTTCGTCTTTCTACTACGAATTAGGGCAATTGCCTGAAACGTCACCTATCCTACAACGTGTTATGCTGTTGTTGTTGTCTTCATTCGGGCAGTGTTATTAACTAATGCAGTGTGAACAGCGTTTTTTTTTTCTCTCGCTCGAATAACAAATGACGGTTGCTGCGCGCTCTCTTTTGCAAAGCTCCGAAATCACCTTCGCTGCAGAGAGGGAGTCACATCGTCGGGAAAAACTTCGCCAACATCTCGTGGCTTCCCAGCGATGGGCAGGAGCAGTACGTGGTCCAGTACCAGAAGAAAAATGGTACGCCGTGGGAAAATGGACACTGTGGACGCGCAATCAACGCCACCACTACTACCATCGGGGTCTCGAATGCCAGGCAATTACTTGTCAGCCGCGAAGTGTTAGTTGGAAGTGCCCTTCTTATTCGGTGTCCTACTTACTCCGCTGCACCGCTCAGTGGAGTCGGAAAGTGTGTGTGCTGTGCGAATGTGAGCGTTGCACGCGTGGATGTGTGTCAGCTGTATGGATGTGCGTGAGTGTGTGTTGCACGCGTGAATGTGTGCGCTGCGTGATTGTGCCTGTGTTTTCGTTGCACGTATGTATGTGTGCGCGCTGTGTGAATGTGCGTGTGTTGCACGCGCGAATGTGTGCGCGCTGCATCAATGTGCCTGTGTGTGTGTGTGTGTTGCATGCGTGACTGTGTGTGGGCTGTGTGAATGCGTGTGCTACGTGTGCGAAAGTGCGTGAGCAGTAGTGCAGCAGTTAGCGCGCTGCGCTACGAATCCGTCGACTCGAATTCGATTCTTGTTAACGACCAACACCAGTGAAGATTATCTGAACCAGTCATGGGCCTCCCCTAGTTCGACACAGGCTCAAATTAGAACCTGGTGTGGTGTGTAAGCATCGCCACTGGGGAGACAAATGCGGCCGGGCGTGGTGCTGACCACCGACCTCCTCGTGTGCCGTTCCAGCCTAACATAACTTGCCCCTGCAGTCCTTTAAGGATGCACCCCCGATTTGTCTTTGTTGACTGTGTGCACATGTATGTACGTGCTGCATGCGTGAATATTTGTTTGCTTTTCTTCAAGTTGTGCTGCAAAGCTGCCAGGAACGAATGGCACTATTCCAGCCGCAATAGAAACGAGTGAACACATTTCATGAATCGAGCAAAGCGAGAAGCACTTGGGAACAGAGGTGGCGTGATGAAGTCTGATCATTCAAAGCGCTCTCTGCCTGTACGTTTCCCCCCCCCCAAAGGCGATGACGACGATTGGAAGAATTCCTCTACCCTGGATTCTTCGACCAACTTCTTTGTCCTCGAGGACCTCCAGCCGGGGACCACTTACAACATCCGCGTCATCGCACGCAACGACTATGGGCACACCGTGAGCGAGGAGGACTTTGTGGAAACCATCGGCACGGGTAAAGACGTGCACACAATCCGGCTTGCGTGATTGCAGCACGTGTGTCATCGCACGCTTGGAATTTACGCCGTTACATTCTTGCACAGGGCACTGTAGGTACCCAACCGTGCAAACCGGAGGTGCGGGGGAAAGGGGTAACGGACTAAACACACAAATCGGATGTCATGTCGAGGTCTGCTAGCCACGTCGAGAGGGCCTCGGGAGAAAGTTTGTCGAGTTTCGGTGTTCTTCTTACATTGGGTGGAAGGGCCACAATTGCAATGTGGCTGTGCCTTCAATTGCCCGTTCATGAATGAGATGCTGCGCATCGGCCTGATGATGTTCGGATACGGTTGATGGTTACACGTGTGTCTTTGAGGAATGTCAGGGCCAGGAGGGTGCGATGTTTCTGTCTCGGACGAGGTGTTAATTCCGGGCGTCCGCGTTGTTCCATCCTGTTCGCCAGCCGTTGTTCATGGATCCGGGTGAGATTCTAGAGACGGCAAGAGCGCAATCGCAGCAGGGGGATCGTCAATAAGTCGGCGGCGAGATAGATTGTTGAGGTCTTGCTTGATGGGTCGGCTGTCGTTGAAAGAAGAACACATTCACCGGAGAACCGACGGCAGAGGTCGCAAACGGGTTTTGATTCCTTACCCGTACCCGGCCGCACCAGGGTCGCAAATGGGTACCCGTACCCGGCCGGGTACGGGTTCCCGTTCCCTACCCGTACCCGTACCCTACCCGAAATGAGTGACAAACGGTTACTCACCAGTGACTCACGGCCTACCCGTACCCGGCCGCACCAGGGTCGCAAACGGCTACCCGAACCCATACCCGGCCGGGTACGGGTAGCTGGGTATCGGGTAGGGTACGGGTATCGGGTACCCGGTTGCGACCTCTGACCTACGGAGGTGAAAGACTTCATCCGAACTGCGCAGAAAAGCCAATAGGGCTTGGGCAGGACACGTCTCGAGAACGGGACGATGGCCGATGGTCAAATAATAATGAACAGAGTGAATAATAAGGGATGGAATGCGTCCGAGAGAACATCCACCGGGGTGATGTAGCGATGAAGTCAGTTCGTGTGTAGGCACTCAGTGGATTGTTCGTGGAGGCCTTCAACGATAAAAAAAAATTCCTGTCGACAAGAGTTGCGCAACCGTAACGTGCGGTGGTGAGATTTACACTTTTGTTGTCCGCGCTGTGGCTGTTGTTGAATGTTGTAGCTCATGTGGGTCCCCTTAGGGGGGCGCCACAGTGACGAGATGTTAGCTACCTCACCAGGGATGCAGAAGGTCGTGGGTTTGATCCCAACCCTGACGCCTGCATATTTGGAGTTTGCATGTTCTCCCTGTGATCGCGTGGATTCTTCTTCGGTTTCTCCAGTTTTTCCCTCCGCATTTAGAAACATGCGTTTAGAGTATTTGGCTGCTATAAATGCCCACGTGATGGATACGCCATTTGTGATAGCCAGGTCGCTTGTCAAAAAGAGCTCTATTGCTCAGTGCGCTTTATCTGGTAAAATAAAAATACAAAATTTTGTTTAGTTTTAGATTTGTAGCTTTCGTGACTGCAAGGATTCATACTCTTAGTTCTTTCGGTAAAGTCATGTAGGTAAAAAAATGAAATTAAAATTAATAAAAATAAAATAATAAACTCACGACGTTTCGGAGGCAACACAAGTCTCCGTCATTAGGTGGGACCGTCACAGCCAGATTTGCTACATCACTTGATGCAGCAAATCATTTGCTGCAGCAAATCTGGCTGTGACGGTCCCACCTGATGACGGAGACTTGTGTTGCCTCCGAAACGTCGTGAGTTTATTATTTTATTTTTATTAATTTTAACTTCATATTTTTTACCTACGTGACTTTACCGAAAGAACTAAGAGTATATATAGTTTCGTTTAGCTCACGGGACCTCTGCGTGTGCCGCTTACAGCGTACCCGACGAGGTCCGTGGACCTGGCTACTCAGGCGTGGTTCATCGCGCTGCTGTGCTTGATAGCCCTCCTCATCCTTATCCTGCTCATCATTTGCTTCATCAAGAGGAACAAAGGCGGCAAGTATTCCGGTGAGCCTCACCACGTGCTAATTGCAGATGTCGCTGGATACTCGTCAGCGGCCTGCCTTGTTTATCGGGCCATTCCTTTGCACGTCATCTTTAAGATTCTGCCGATGGGAAATGTGATAATTACGTTGCCTTGGTTGCCGAGCACTCTTCGTTGAAAATTCCAAATTGTTGTCGCCGTGCTGGCAGTTGGGTTTTGCATTTAAATCAATGCCGAAATGCCACTTGCTAGTTTAGCTGCAATAATGTGAATGCTGAAGAAAGGGAATTTCGTGAAATGTGTGCTACTACTTTTTATCCACAAGTATGCTTTTGACATTTTGAGTCCTGACATCAGTGAGATGAATCGTATTATTAAAAAAATATATATACATATTATTTCACGATCATTAATATTCACTGAGCCCCAGAGCACATTGAGTGGAATTAGCATATAAATAATGGATAAGGTAGTCAATCACTCGACATTAAATACGTGTTTTTTTTTCCGTTTGCGTCTACCACGTGGAACAGAGGTCACTCAAAGGCATCTCAGAGGCAACTCTGTGATATCCACTTCCATGGGCCAATCTCAAGCACAAAGGGTTGCCACTGATAATTGGTTTTTTACCCTTCTATCTGGCAACAAAACTGACACCTTTTTACAAGGAGTCATGTTTGCATAGACCACAATACCTGCAGTCATAATGCAAACAAAAAATATAACTCTGATAATGTGCACTGTCCTTTAAGTTGATTGGTCCACACCCGAGACAGCTTTCCTTGGTGGCCAAAAGGCCTTTTGGCGTCATCTGGTGCAACAACCCATGTGAGACTAGGCTCTAAGGAAAGCTGTCTCGGGTGTGGACCAATCAACTTGAAGGACAGTGCACATTATCAGAGTTATATTCTTTTTTTGCATTATGACTGCAGGTATTGTGGTCTATGCAAACATGACTCCTTGTAAAAAGGTGTCAGTTTTGTTGCCAGATAGAAGGGTAAAAATCCAATTATCATATTTTTATTGGCAAATGAGGTTCCAAGGGTTGCCACTGCTTTGCGAGATATTTGAATGGATACTTTGTCTAATGACGTGACGCCATTACCATGATTTGGATAAAATTGAGGAAATCTCTAAAAATATAGATTTCTAAAAGTGTATTTGTTGTGTTATAGATGACGGACCCTCCGGATGAGAGTGTATTTTTTATTTTATTTTTACAACAGAATTTATTTGGTTTGACCTTCAATCTCATCAGCAGCCAGACTTATTCAACAGCCTCATCAAATGTTGTTGGTGTTCGACGTTGGATGCCATTCGAAGTAAATCATTCCGCGTTCACTGTCGAGCACGTGTAGCTATGCAGAGAGAACGGATGCATTAGACAAACGTGAATGTGATGAGTGTCCTTGTTTGTGAGTGCTGCCTTTCTCTCGTCAACAGTCAAAGACAAGGAAGATGCCAGAGCAGATCCTGATATAAAACCCACGAAAGAGGAGACTTTTGGTGAATACAGGTATGGGAAAGTGGACTCAAACAAACACCCCAAAAACATATACACTCAACCTCCTAAAGTGGAGTGATATTTGCAGGTAGCTTCAACACGTGTTGTTTGTCGCTCGTGAAGACAGGGCAGGCGGATAATACGTACGCCTCGTCTTCCTGTGTATCTCACTTTTGCCTCTGGCCAATGTACTGAAAGCTGTGTTTAATGCCAGATAAATTGCAGGTGTATACAGAGTAATATGATTCACCGGGCACGAACACGATGCCTCTCCTGGGTGAGATCGGCTCTTGCAAAGGAGCGAGATGGATTGCGGCATCGTAACGACGTGAGGTGGCAAAGTGGTAGATAGAACGTGGAGAATGATGTCCAGAATTTGAGTACAACGTTGCATCAAATCGTGCGTGCGGGAATTAACGATTGTCAAAGCGTGTGCATGTTGGGTGTCATCAGTCGCTCGTTCACGTGATCCCCTGCAGCTACTGGAGGCAGCAAACCTGCACCTCATTATAGATTATGATTGAATTTTTTTAAATTATTGATTGATTGCAGCCCTAATGGGTAGACTTGCTCCCATCATAAGAAAGTGTATTATTTCTGGTCAATCGGATCAAAACTAGCAATAGGACATGGACACATTGCCTGATCATCTTTTTTTAAGTTCTCCATCGCCGGTTCTGAAAAAGAAATAAATTATACCTACATTCTTCTCACAATAGATGAAACCCATGTATGTTGTTTTAATTTAACGGTGCTCGCATGGTTATTATCATTATTTATAAAATGCTTTTAGTTTTGCCTTTGAAATGTTTCCTTTGTTTACCCTGCCGAGCTCTGCTTGCTGTGTGTGTATTGGTGCATGTTCTTTTACGTGTTACCTGCCCAAGCATGCATTGCCCAAATGGATCTTAAGCACTAATGCCTATATAAATAGCACATTTCAACTGCGGTACCATCGTATTTTGCTCACACGTGTTTCATTTCTCTGGCTGAGAGAAAAAACTTGCTCGCCTAGAATCAGCTTTCCAAGTGGTGCAATGATAAGCATGTTTTAATAATGTCTACTGAGGCCACAGCAATTAAAGTGCAGTGACGTCTCACATTTAAATGTGATTTTTAAATGGCTTCCTGTAAGGATCCACTTAAAATGCACTTACGTGAATACATACATATATTATTTCCATAAAATGTTAATTTGAAATTGAAAGTAAAAAACATAACTTTCAATGTTGAAGTATCCACAATTGCACCGTAGACATGTCCCCTGACTTAAACCCAGAATTGAAACGTTTAAGTTAACTAACTTTCATGGGTTTACAATAAATCGACATTTTTCCTTTAGACATTTAACAAACATGAACACGCATGTCTTTGTTGTTCACCACATTTTATCTTGAAATGCACATCTGCAACGCAATGTTAATCACTTTTTAATGCCTTTCAATTCATTTTCTTTGCAAACCTTTGGATATATAGACCACTCGAAAGGTAGGTACTGTTCACATTTAACAGATATTTTCTTAAAATGTTAAAACAAATTCTTTACCATAATCAACAAACTGACACCTTAAATAAAGGCTATTCTTGGGGTGGCTCAGATGCCAGAACACTGTGTCGGTACGGGTGCCTAATCTTTGAATTCAGGGAACTACTCATGATTTAACCAGGTTGTCAAGTGCCGTGATGACTTCATGGTCTCAGCCTGGTCACCAATGACCTCACAGCAACGTCATTCGCATTAAATGTGGTTCTGCAATGAATTTTCCACCTATGAGAATTCAAATATTTGGCTTGACTGCCATGCGACGGGCATTGCTCTCATATACACCAGAGGCAGTGCTGCCCTCTGCTCCGAGGACAAGGGATCACTTGAAGGGATCTTAAATGTAGCTCTGGAGTGTCTGCTTTTGTAGGCTTTTCTCCAGGGATATTTCAATGGATACGTCAGCCTATCAAATTATTCCATTTGCACGATCGGGATAACGTGGGAGAAAATGACACATTTTTAATAAACAATCGCCATTTTCTATTAACTGTTGGTTTAACCATTGCCCCTATCCAAGCAGCAACGAATATGCACCAGTTTAATGCCCTATGTCCCTGTTATGGATGACACAAACAACATTTGACAGTCCTTGCTTCCGTTACATTTTCAGTTTTTCCTGCCCCACCGCGCTGTACCTGCTCGCCAACCTTTCTTTCTTCCCAGCCCCATTTGCTGCTCACCATCGCAAACTCATCCCGCAACAGTGGCTGGGGCGTGGCCAAAACAGCACATACCTGATTGAGTGCCAGCGACGGAAATGGCTCGGAGGTGTTGTCGTGAAAAGCGACACGGCTGAGCAAATGACAGTCTACTTTGAATATTTTCTTTGCGGATCAAGGACCTTTGAGTCGTTATGGCAATATCACGGACTATAGGGTTTGTCCCTTATTGAAGCGTGTTCAGGATTACTCCTAACTTGGCACAATCTGCTGGGTGACCTTTTTTTTGCATTGCCAATGGCTTAATTAGTGTGGCCCAATGTCAATAGCTTTGCATCAGCCCCTTGAATTCCTGGTGCGGGAGGAGGATACTCATGAAATAGTGGAATATAAAAACAAATGTTTGCACAACATTTAACACCAGTGGCAAGCCTAATACACAGCAGGTGGTATCTTTTCTGATTCTGTTTATTGATTCATATTCCTTTCAACGTTTATTAAACGTTTTTCGTGCACCTCTCTAATTTAACAAAGTCATGGTACAGGTTCGCTTCGAGTTACTGTCACTTGATTCCGAGACATTTGAAGGAAACCTTCGCTTGCGATTTATTCCAAAATATTAAATAGTTATAACACTGCCTGTGAAATGTATCATGCGCACAGTAGCTTTGGCTCAGCTGCTTTGGTGAAGCATACCTTAATCAGCTTCATTATTTCATGCTCAACTATGCGTGTGTGTGTGTATAGTGGGGAGCGGTGGTGTAGCGGTTAGCGCGCTGCGCTATGAACCTGGCGACCCGAGTTCGATTCCCGCTCACGGCCAACACCCAGTGACGATTATCTGAACCGGTCCTGGATATCCCCTAGGTCGACTCAGCCTCAAATGAGTACCTGGTGCGGTGTGTAAACATCGCCACTGGAGAAACAAAGGCGGTCGGGCGTGGTGCTGGCCACCCACCCCCTCGTGTACCGTTCCGGCCTTCATAGGTGCTCACTAACAGCACTTGCCCCTACAGTCTGTTAAGGCTATACGGGGGATCTTTATCTTTATATATGAAAGTCTCTTGAATTGCCGGGGCATGCAGGTTGCAGGGGACAAGTGCCATTAGCATGCAGCACCGGCACAGTGCTAGTTTACACACCGCGCCCGCCACTAATTTGAAGCTGATATGATTAAGGCTGAGTTGACGGAGGGAAGGTCCCAGGACCGGTTCCAATAAACGCACGTGGTGTTTTGCTGGGTTTCATAACGCAGAGTGCTAACAACCACTACACCACCGCTCCCCCTCCCCCCATGTCTCCTCCCTACAAAGACAAAGATCCCCCGTATAGCCTGTAACAGATTGTTGGGGAAAGTGCTGTTAGCGAGCACCTATGAAGGCCGGCACGACACACGAGGGGGTGGGTGGCCAACACCACGGCCCGGCCGCCTTTGTCTCCCTAGTGGTGATGTTTACACACCTCACCAGGTACTCATTTGAGGCTGAGTATATCTAGAGGAGGCCCAGAACCGGTTCAGATATTCTTCAGCGATATTGGCCGTGAGCAGGAATCGAACTCAGGACAACCGACATTCCCCACTAAGTGACGGTGATGTCACCACGGCGATTGTGCCAGGCTATGTGTACTTTAAAGCCACGTGAAGTGTCGTAGGCTCAGGTCAACGGGACAGCCCCAGCAGGTGCCATGAGTCAACTGCCCGAGATGACTGGCAAGATGTTCACCCTTTCGTGCCAACCTGTGCCCACCCACCCACCCCCAACTCCCCACGCTTGCTCGTGCCGCCACTGACCCCCCCACCCACCCACCCACCCCGCAGCGACAACGACGAGAAGCCGCTGGCCGCGAGCATGCCGTCGCTCAACGGCTCGGTGCCGCACGGCGAGAGCGAGGACAGCCTGGCGCAGTACGGCGACGGTGTCGAGGGCATGTTCAACGAGGACGGCTCCTTCATCGGGCAGTACCGCGGCAGCAAGGAGCGCGTCTCCTCCACCGCGGACGGGGGCCCGACGGCCCCGCCGCTCCCGCCGCCCGGTGGCTCGGCCGCCACGTCGCCCGTCGCCCCTACGGCTTGAGCCGGTCGCCGGCGGCGCGAGCCGGGGGGTGTTTTTTTTTTTGGAGGGTGGTGGGTGGGTGGGTTGGGGTGGCGGCGGCTTGCGAGATTCGGCGACGGAAAGGGTCGCTCTTCATTTAGCCGGCGCGTGGCCGTGGCGTGGCTGGACCGGGGGAGGGAATTGCTGACAGTGACGATGACCGTGACCGGCGCACTGCAGAACGCGGCATCCCTCAGAGGCGTAGCTAGGGGGGGGGGGGCAGGGGGGTACATGTGTCCCCGGGCGCCAAGGTAAAGGGGCGCCAAAATGAGGCTTACAACGTGACATTATAACTTATTGCGGCGGGCGCGGCAGCCTGAAACTACTGCACAAATCTACACCTCAACCTAAAAGTTTATATATCCCGCCACACACAGCCTACATGTCATGTAATTAAATTTTGGTATGTGATTAAACGGGGGGGGGGGGGGAGCGCCAATTTTATAGTTCGTCCCCGGGTGCAAAATATCCTAGCTACGCCACTGGCACCCCTCCACCTCCACCCCCTGCATTTGCCGGTTTGACGCCACGGCCGGTAGAAAGGGGGCATCTGGCTAAGGGGGAGCGTGCCAGAGAGTTCCTCTAGAGGAGCTGACCTGTGACGAGACGAAATCAATGGCCCTGAAGTGGAACGCAGGCCCCACGGTAATATGGTAACGCTATTGGAGGCTGCTTGTGCGCTGATGATTTCCAAACGTGGTAACTGGATATAAATGTATAAATAAATAAAAAGTAAGGAATTGACCCAGCTGATCAATTGAATGACCTGATGCGTGGGGACAAATTCCGCGCTCCTCACACCAACATTTAATAAGTAAAGAGCGTTTGACGAAACTGCCCGACTGCTTTCATCGACTCGACTTGGAGAAAACGACTCAATGAAATCCACAGACTTAAGACTGCGTGACTGAAAAAAGAAAATACGTTGACTAAATTTACACTGGGTTAGAGCATCATCTTCACCATAATTATCACCATCAGCATCATCAGCGTCAGCATTAGTCAGCAACACTCCGCACCGCTGGATAAAAAGTCTTACACGTGGTGATGACACTACCGTTGAAGCCATGCAGATGAAATACATTTCGTGTCAGCCTGGGCGTGACCCCAATGTTGTTTTCACTGTTTCACCTCCTTACCCTTTATGATTATTGCATTTGAATGGTTTTGTGGCTCTCGTCCGGGAAGCAGATACCAACAATTTGCTGATACCTTTTTCCGTGAATCTGTCTCGTAATCTTTTCCAATCCCCTGACTGTCATTGCACTACCCCTTTAATCCATCAGTCCTCCTGTCCCTGCTCCGCACGTTGCCACTGCCCGCTCGCGGGGCCTTCTGTGTTCGCTCGATTCCCTTTCACATTCATTTCGAGTTCCGTAATGTTCAATGGAATGTTTTTATTTGTTTATTTTATTAACGGTTATATTTCTAAAAGTTTTTTTTTCCATAATTGAGTGGGAGAGAGTAAACATTTACAACCCTGGCTGTCGCCTGATGATGCTGGTTGTAATTACCGGTGAAACGTCGTATTCGAATTGTAAATGTTGTGGGTTTACTCTCCAACGCACCGGTGTGCTGAACTAGTAACGAATTGGCATGTTTTGTTTACGTGACAAACCTTACTAATTGGCTGTGTTTAGTGGTGGGGACTTAACCACGTATTTATATTTACACCATCTTATTAAAAAAAAACACCTTATGAATAACTGTGGTCGTGAAAGCCTACCCCGTGTTACAGCGTGTTTCGTTTGCATGGACGTTCAGCTTTTGTAACATCACCTCCACTTGTCAGGGACCATATTTCCAATTCATGCCTTTTGATCGACGGCTTCTCACTTGGCCTTCGGTGGTGACTCGCACTCCACGATGGCTTTCTGATTTACCCCCCCCCCCAAAAAAAAATCTCATTCCAACGTTGCAATTACGTCCGCGCCAAATAGAACGGGGAGTGTCACACACGCATGCTACCTGCACCGCTGCAGTAACACACACACACACGCGGGTGGCTGAATAAGATAAATACAATATATTTGTTAGCGTTGAGAAACCAGTACAGTGGTTGACTAATGATTCATGATAGCAAGCATGCTGGGCAGGTTCAAGGGAGATGTTTGCTCAAAATGCATCGGTGTACACATTAATTGTTAACACATCAAGCTCCGTTTTTGGAGATCATTTAAGACTGCATGGAAGAAGCAGAGGGCTCTGGTGTAAAGCCCCACTGTCTTATTATGTTTAATTTAACAGCAATGCCAAACCGGAGGTGTGTCGAGGAATGTGTCAGAGATGTGCCGAGGATTGCACCGAGATTAATTTCTTCAAGTAACTCTCTGATCCCTCCTCGTTCACTCTGCGTACATATGCGTGCGTTCACGGTTTTACTGTTAACAAAAAAAATGAAAGCAAACAAAAAGTCTCATATAATCAATCTCAATATGACACGTGAAAACACCGTGCGATATATATTGAAGAAACAAATACATATATATATACATGTATACTAGTTGCACAGCAAAATAATTGATGCTGGGAGAATGGAAGTAAGTGCTGTCTGTATGTGTATATGACAGTGTAACTAAGTAGCAGTACCAGATATTCACGAATGAAAAGCTAAAATGTCGGATCTAGATGTGTAAGTCGGAGTGTGTGTGTGTGCTTGCAATTTAAACAAGGTCCGCAGTCAATACAGCTTAAAATGTATTTTAAAACAATACTTTGCCCCACGTGAAAAAATTAAACTGGAGCTTTGATGATTGGACATTTCTATTGCTAGACTAAAATGTGATTTCTTTCGTCACCCATTTCACTCTCGCCTCGTTCTATTGAAAGGAGTCAACATTTCCAAACAACCCACACTATTTTAAAGGTGCATGAGTAAACGTGCACGTGTCTATGTTCTCAGCCTCGATCAACAATGGCTGTCAAAAAAAAGATCACGTTAAATTGGGGCCTGCACTTAATTTTCTTCAATTCCAGCTGTTGGAATTTCAATATCCGGCATGTGATGGACCTCTCTCTCATGTGCAGAGGAAGTGAGGAGTTTTGCCCCTCGAATCTTTGTGGACGAGGCTATCACTTGAAGGGATCTCAGAGGTAGCTCTGGGATATCAATCTCCGTGGGCCATTCTCCAAACACGAGTGGTTGCACTGTTCTGCGAGAGGCCCAGAGGGATACTTGGTCACGTGACGCGACACTGAAAGTGCAATTGGGATATGAAGAGGGGAAAAGTTATGAAATGTTAAATCGGTACATTTGTAGCAATCTCACAACAGTTGAGGACGATCTCACCATAAGCAAAGTGCTCCTGAATACATTTTTTACTTTAATTCTGCAATAGCGTTTTTGTTTTTTAAATCAATATTGATCATGTTAGTATACATGCATGCACTGTTATTAACAGAGAACTTGCAATTGAATTGCATTTCGGAGACCCGGTATGAACATAGAAACAAACGACAAGACATGACAAAACTATACTTAATTTTTGTGTGTTGCATCTCTGCAATCCTTTAAAACAAATGTACATTATTATTGTTACCTGAATGGTGCAGTGTCTATTTTCTTTTTTCCTTAACAGGAATGGTGGCTCTGATCCCAAACTAAACCTTTCGCGCATGGCTGTACGTATGACTGTATGCGCAAAAGAAAATATTACAAACATGCATCATCCGCCACGTACATTTTGGCCACGCGATCGTTTGGAGCGAAGAATGTATTCCGCATGCTTAACACGATTTTCAAATTCGCGTCAAGACAGCCGCTTTTCTTTGGGGAAAATAAAACGCCAGCTTCTGACCTCTTGCGGGAAAATATTACACGTAGCTGTGAGAGTGACACAGCCTTAGTAATACTTTGGGATAAATAAAAAACCACTTAGATGAATGCTGTCAAAAAATGTTGAACTGCACGTTATCATAATTTTTATTATTTGTATCCGGTATAAATTACTTCCTCCATTTTTTAACCCGCTTCAGGTGTACGCGTGGTTTTCCGGTCTTGCAAGTAGTGTCGAATGTTTAGCGTTTCGTCCATGAAGCTTCAACCACACACTAATTGCGGGCATCTTCAACTCCCGAAAATCACGCCGCGACAGCGTCAATGTTAAATCTGTTTCAAGGCTTTGTTGTGCACAATTTTTACTCAACTCATTTGAAAGCCACTAAAAACATAGTGTGTTTTTTTATTTCCGTTTCATGGTTTTTGTACATTTTCTTAATGCCAAAGTGTGTTGTTGTCGACTTTGTGTATACATTTTTTGTAGAGTTAATGCATTCAGATTTTTGTCATCGTTTACCGTTCATATCTAACGTTTTGCGTAGAAAGTTTAAACATTTTTTTTGGTGTGGTGGCAAAAAGCTCAGTCCGTTTTGGAAGACAGTAAAGCCCGGCAAACGATTTGATTGTAGTTCCCATGGTGGCTTTGAGACCATAGAAATGTATACAGTTTGCATTTTGTATTCCCCTGACACACATGATTACTGAATACAATGTCTCGCAGACAAAACTTGTCTGCCCTGACCCATTCAAAACCGCCTCTTGGATTGGCCACCACCACCACCTCGCCATTCACTCAATGACTAAGTTCCACTAACAGTTCTCATTAGAGTACTCACCTTTCACTAGGAATAACGACACATTGCCCCAATATTGTACTAAATACATTAACTTTTTCGGCTATCGGCTATTGCAGATTATAATATATCAATGCTAAAAAAAGATCATACAATGCATAGGTTATGTGTGTTTGACGTATACTTATTTGCCTTAATATGTCCAAACATTGCGTTGCTACTGTCTGTCCTGAGAAAAAAAAATATTGTGATTGAATAAAAAACACGTACGTTTATTTCATGCGCAGTTTTTAAATAAATATGCAAACAAACCGCGACTTACGTGTGATTCATTGATGTATGGGACGATTTTTGTCATCATCAACCCAGTTTAACTTTCAATTAGGGGTAATCGTTGACGTAATTACGGGTAATTGTTATGATTTGGGAACTCTCAGTCATTTCTGCTTA